ATCGAATATTTCAGCCTAAGCTTTCTGTTTTTGTTCAGCATTTCCGATTGTCTGTTTCCATCCCTTTCTCACTGTTGTTATGTTCCACTACTGTTTTCGGGGCCAGGTCTTACTATGCAATGGAAGTTGTGATTTTCTGTTATACACTAAATGAAACGACTACTTCTTGGTTATTACTTGTACAGAAGCACGATAATCTAATTGTATGAACGACAGTTCTGTCTCCAATTTCCCTGCTTTCGAAGCCAGTAACTCTTTAAGTGTACAGTTATTCCGTTCTGTCTGACCATTAGTCTGTGGGTGGTACGGTGTCCTTCGTATGCTCTTGATATCGATCTGCTCCAAACAGGACTTGAATTTTTCACTTTCAGAACAAGGACCGTGGTGGGTCAATATCATCTTCGGTGCACCATGATCCGCGACAATATGCCGCCATTGTTACTGTCTTCACGCGTTGATCAGGAATCGCTGCAGTGTCTACCCATTGTGTAGCACGTTTTGTCATCACCAAAAGGTATTCGTTGCTACTAGATGTCTGCGGAAATATTCCCATCACATCCATAGACCACAGTTCACCAACTGCTACTAGTGGAGTCGACTGAAGCGGCGGTTGTATATAACTATCACCTTACATTAACTGACAATGTGGACAGTCCAGCACGGTTTTCTCAACATCTCTCATACCTGGCTAGTATGCACGTTTTCTGAGAAAGTCAGCTGTTCGTGCGGCACCCATACGAACTAACTATTGGGATTTTTGTATCATTTTGTCGCGCAAACATTTCAGAATCACTGCCAACCAGCTCCTGTCTTTTTGTCGCCAAGTCAGCATTCCATATGTGTTCACCCCTAGGCGTTCTTTCTGCGTCAACAACGTCTTCAACTCTTTATTTCCCATAGACGTTTCTGTCTCCGTTTCTTCAGTTATCGCTTTTATCTTTTCTTTAAGTGTATGGTCCGACTTTTGAAGGCGAATGTGTCTTAATGTGCCGCGTTTCACTGCATGTTCACTATATGCCATCTAAGGTAGTTCATTTTCTTCGTCTGATCTTGATAAGAAATTTGTCAACCAGTTTTCTTCTCCTGCATTGTGATCGACTGTGAAATTATACTTTTGCAGTTGTAACATCCAGGATCTGTCGCTGCCTTTAGACACTGTAGAGGTTTTGTGATCAGTTTCAGTAGGATATTTAACTTTTCATTGTCCGTTATAGATGCGTGGTGACAATGAATGGCCCCGTATGGCCCAGAGAAACAGAAGTGACAACGCGGGCGCATTAAGAGTAAATTGGGACAGAAGCAGAAGAGTAAATGAAGCACATTATGCAAATGACTCTCTTAGTGGGATGTGTACCATATTTGACGACTACTGTACAAGTTGTGTCTCAGTCTTGTCTTTTTCCACAAATGGTTTCGCTACTTCTGAACGTGACGATGATTCCGTGGCCTGAAGTATTCCAAGATGGAGATATCAAGGTCTTCCTCACGGACTTCGAGTCGGTCACAGAGCTGCTGCGTGTCTAGGATCCAGGTGGGAAGCTCATGGTGCTTGGCATGTTGCTGAGGGTAGAGAGAAAGTGGCAGATAACGGAGTGCAAATGGAAAGGAGATTTAGAAGAGGATGGTTGAACGACTGGAGGCGGAGTTTGACAGCCCAACGATACAGCAGTTCCGCATCACGAAACTTAGAATAGACGAAGATACGCTGGTATTGGCTATGAAGTTGACAAAACTACTTCGACGAGCACTTCCCACTTTGTGCGAAGAATCCCAGGCCCAATCCATGGATATTAGTGATCTGGCCAAGTTCACCAGACAGCTAGTGGGTACAGCAGTAGCTTTGGTGGAGTCACCGGAGGTAAATAATTGTAGAAAACAACAAGTCGGAGACGAAGGAAGGAATATTTATTACTGAGGTCTTGTACAGTAGTCATCAAATATTGTACACATTCCATTAAAATAGTCATTTGCATTTTTCTGTTCAGAATATTTACCCATCGTTGGTAATTGTCTATGATTTCTGCCGATTTCTCAACATATACTACTTATGTATCCATTCTTATCAGTAGCACCCACTACATTACAAAGATGTCTGTGATCAAAATCCTGTAATCCCTGAATTTATTCTACTTTCAAACGCCATTTCGACTGGTATCTTGGATTTTCTCAGTTCACTGAATCCACACTTTGCCAACATCTTATATGTGAATGACATATGGACGATAAAGCACATTCATACGGTTACAATTCCTGAAGGAGGCGGAGATATGTTTTAAAACGGACATCGAGATGACATCCTTTATTTATCACCATTTATATAACTTCCGTTTCAGAATTTGAGGCTAACATGAATCGCAAGAGAAAAGATCATTAAGAACTGAAGTTCAGAATTCTTCATCTCCCGAAATGCTTGACCACATGGTGTAGTAAATCTCCAACGGTTCCATGTGAGGAAGAAACATTTAAACGTAGAGAACCCTGAGGTCGATATATAACGACCAGGATGCTTCTCAACATGAATTGTTCCAGTAATTACTGTTTCCTTAACGAGTTCGAACTCTATCAACTGAAACGATTCAATAAAAAACTAAATCTCGTTAGAGATCTTATCTTACAGTGGTAGGTAGAAGTAAACTTAAGTGATGGAAAACTGTTAAGGATGACCAACCAGGTTATAGTTGCTATGTTCAAGGTAATTTTTTACGTCCATTTACCAGGTCGTTGATATTGCACAAACGTTTGATGAATAATAATCAAGTGTACTTTGTGACTAACTTGCAAACAGTTGGGTTACTTTCTTGAGTGGATCTTAAGTTGTGCATGTGGTTTTTGTTGTGACCGAGTAGGGTTGCGTGTGTGAGTATCATGATACTGAGACTCAATAGACACCTCAACCGAATACCTTCACGATTGACCTTCCTCACTACCTCCTGCTTCATTGAGCTGCAAAAAAACCAGAAGATAAAATACGGCCTGTGACTGCAAGATCAACTACAACTTTTATCACGCAAATACATGACATATATGTATTTACAAAACTCTCAGAAAGTGAAGTCATAAATGAAACAATCAGATTTCTTGTATGACGTCGAATTTGTCCAATCAGGTTCTCATCTCAGCACGAGCATAAATAATGACCTGAACATGACTTGAAAACGACTCCCTTATTGGCTGACTTTTGTCGCTACGCCTCAGTTTTGTAATAAATTATGTACCCAACAGTGAAAAAAAAGACAGTCGTATCTTTCGTTATTCCACCTGTTACAATAAGAAATCTTCGAGTGAAGGGTCGTTTTTCAAACGATATCATCTAATTCTACAATATATAGTGACTTCAGTACTATACTGGCTGGTTGGAACAGCTGTAATATTGGTAGGAGCTCTAACAGAGGTTAGTAAAACTTCTTCAATGCACTACAGAGATATTTTCTTCGAAATACTTTGTTGTAGTAGGTGCAGTTTGGTAGAGTAGGCAATCTGATATAGATAGATGAATGTCTTCTTCGAAGAAGTAGACATAACCGAGGGAGACGATTAAAACGTGACTGAGCACGTTAATCTGAATACATATATCTCAAAAAAATCACATATTCTTGAAAAATGACACCGAAATACGAAGAAAGCGTATTCAAGTGGATAAGGGATAGATCAGACAAATCTATTCTACCAGGTGTAGAAAAATGGGTAGCATCGAGTACCGCAATATACACGGGTGCTTGGAAGTCACATGTATCATCATCTGAAATAGATTACTCCCATCACAAAATGGAACTTTGCTGACCGAACAACTGGAATGCGCACAAACAACCTTGAAAATACCTTGAGTCATCTTAGAAAGTTTCTCAAATCTTTATCAGGATTACAAGGAGATGTGTTACTGTCTCATATGGATCAATAGCATTGCAAACAATCGTACAATTTCAAAAATGATAAACCTCATGAAAATCTAGACGTCTTTATTATTCATGTAATTGAGATTTATGAACTGTACATAAAGTATCATTTTTCATAATAGCCACGTTGTCCTTCAGGTACGTGAATTTGATTGGTCAGTTCCTACTTGAACATGATTGGTCGTCAGTCAAGTTTAGTTCCACAGTTTACCACGATTATAATTATCTGTAATCAGCAGATGTTTATACTTCCTTGATTTCACTAGGCAGGACTTGATGGTTTGTTTAGAGCGGAGGGTGTTGGCTTCTGGTCCCTATGGGAGGCATTTTTGTTTGTAGGTGTATCTACCTGACAAGAGAGTCCGATGTAGTCAATAACCTTCGATACTGTGTATCACTTGTCACCATTTTGGATGCAATTCAAACATCTATGAATTTCTTCCAAGAATCGGCCCAGTGGGCTATTGTACAAATAAACCAAACTCTCTAGTTAAGCATAAAATGAAAAATACTGCATTCTTCAGAAGCTGAGGGTAATTCATAATTTGTAGGTAACATGATTATACTACTTTTTATTTGAAAGTAGTATAAAATTAAGTGCAAAAACAATACGCAGAATAAAAGCAAAGTGATGTTTCCTTCTGATGCTACAGACGGTAATCGACAGATATACTGAGAACAATTGATCCGGTTGATGCAACGTAAGTCACTGCATGGTTGAATCATATGGTAGATATATATAGAGTCATTGGAAACGTGAGTGCGCTGAACAGCTGTTCCTCCCTAACGTGCGGAAATCCTCAGCGGTGAGCACCAACGACCTCGCCCTTACTAGAACTAAACAAGAGACCCTCAGCAAGGATGTCACCATTGAAACATTTATTAGAATACAACGGTCGACATATCGTGACCCCCATCCAATGTCGTTGTTGAGTAACTATCCTCACGTACGACTCTATTCGCCTTATCTGTCACTACTTCTCATTTGAACTTAATGAAATATCACTCATCTCAAAGCAGGTGACTACTCAGTAATTACTTTCAGTTTACTTCATGCTGATTTGTTCCCAGGCTTCTTTTACCACTCTTGTTCTGTCTTCATTCCAGGTACAGACAGCAGCAATTGAATGTTGTGTCATCCTAGAAGGATTATGTAATAAGAATTATCCTTATAATGAAATATCAATTTTGCATACGATTGAAAATCTTCTACTTGAAGAAATGTCTGTTATGGAAGTCAATTTTTTATTACAAAAAATACAAAATTCCATAGAATATCATAAGTATAATGATCATTGGATTGATCAGATTGATTTGATGGAACTGGATAACAGTCAGCAAAAACAAGAATGTAAGTGTTGCTATATGCTTCCTAGATTGTTTGATCGTGAAGTTTCCACTGTTTTTCTAGACAACATCACCTGTAGCGCTAACTTCAATTTATTTAGCAACCCGTCCTGATGACCTTGTCTGTGATTGGTTGTTTCTACCAAGGTCGTGCTATAGACCCCATATGCATTTTGATTGGTTGTTGTTTCTTATTAATTGAAACATTATGTCAGGGTTACTATGTCCGTTCATTGATGACCGAAGTAAATGGTATGCTTCTACAATTCTCTGAGATTCTTTGTATTTCGTACATCTACAATTTCTACATTTTCTTAGTTGAATTCATGTCCATAGTTGTTCGTATGCAATGATATGACCGAGGATACGTCATGAGGCATCACTACTAATTACTATTTATATCGAGGAATACAAAGAGGGTGATCACTCTTACATGAAGGGATACACTCTCTAAGATGACATCAGTTACCTTGGGGATGTCTTCGTGATAGGTGTCAACAGTCAAGAAATCTAATTTATCTAGTTTCATTTACTCAATACCAAAACAATGCAGTGGAAATGATATACCACTTCACAAGATCAATTGTAAGTTTTATTACCTGCGACACAAAAAGGGGTGAGAGAATTAGGACTACATAAACTCCGACTGAAAGTTGTGAAGTTATATCTTGACATGAAAATAATACTGTTTCATTTTGTAACAGTTTAAAATGCATCGACCGTCAACAGTCCAGAACAAAATGACTTAAGTCGATAATCTTCCTGATTCTGGTGGACTGGATCATACAGTAAACGCTGAGGAGCAAGAAGATGGGCATACGCTGACTAGAGCCTAGAAGAAGATTTGGATTTCGCCAGCAATGATGATTAATGCGTAATGTCACACAAACTCGAAGATCAACAGGCAAAAATTAACAAGTTGACAGGCGAGGCGAGGCAGGGCATCGAAGAAAGACGGCACTTCCTTCAGATGAAAGTAGAGAAGACAGAGGTGATGAAGATACCCAATCAACAACAGCATCAACCACAAGCACTAATCACCATTAAAGGGAGAAAACTAATGAAGTAGTCTCTTTCACCTACCTACATTCCTAGACAGTATCTTTTCAACTAAAGGAGGTAGCACAGGCACAGACGAGGATGTCGAAGCCAGCCAAGATCGGAAAGACAGCAAGCAAGACAGGCTTTCAGTAGTCTGAAGTCAGTGTGGACATCTACTGTACTGCACTCAGCATGTGGAACATGATCCGGATTTTCAACACCAATCCAGTCAAGTCAGTGCTTGATTCTGTGTGATGGTTGAGAGACTTGGCGCGTCACGAAAAGCACTTCCAACAAACTGCAGACATTCATCAATACCTGCAATCTACGTTCACTCCATATTCAAGATCGGATCAGAAGGCCAGAATAACAAGAATAAGCAAGGCGGGACTCTGGGGACGAACTAATGAAGCAAGAATCAATCACCCAACAGATATGCAGGTGAAGCAAGTGAAGTTCGATTAGATTGGGCATACACTGAGAAGGCCGACTGAAGACATCACGCACCAGGCCAGGCCAACGAGTGTAATCCAAATGGAAAACGACGAGTTGGGCATCTCGGTTGAGGGTGACATGGAGGAGGAGATAGTGTGTACGGAAGAAATGAAAGGTTGTTGGCAGTCATGGAGCCAGGTTGAGAAAACTACAGAGAACAGAGTGAAATGAAGGCGTGCTATTAAAGCCTCCATGTTCCACTAGGAATCCAAGAGACAAATAATCATAAATCATAGTTCGGTGTTGTGAATAAGAATTATAACGAGTGTAGCATTATTATATACAGGTTGGATTTGTGTGTAAGTCACAGCGTGCGTTTTGCACGAAACTCAACTCCAAATATCTTCAGGGAAACAGTGAAAATTGAAATATATTTACAGATGTGTATTGAATCTTTCCGTTTAATCCTCTTAGTATAGTTATTGCTTACCGTTAGGTATAATTAATTACTAATTATCATTCAGTGTTTAATTGTATATCTCTTAAATATAAGTGTAAAACTTGGGCACTGTGATCGATTGTAATTCCATTTTAGTCTGTTCTTATTAGAAATATCACACAGTGAAGAAATAGTAACATTCACTGGATAACCACGTTTCGGACTCAATCTATTGCCCATATTCAGATCAGATCAGGTGACTCCATAACTTCAACACAGACTTTATATATTCCTAATTCTCTCTGTCCTTCCCTGTGATGACAAGGGTAGTAGAATTTTCAATATATCTGAGACAGGTACAGAATCATTTCGATTGGCGCATGTGTATTCTATGTTGATTTGATAAACAAAGATTCAGTTGGTTATTAATCTCTCTCTTTCTCCCTCCATCCAACTGAGTAAGTTTTCAACACTGTTGCCCTATCCCACCCTACTGTGTGATTGTGTGAAGGTGTGTGCGGAGCTATGACCAGCCGAAGTTTTCTCTAAATTTCTTATCCCATTACGACCTACGAATTGAGCTGATTTAGCTAAGTTTTTGTGCTCGGATTCCCTAATCGACTCTGGTCGACTGATTTCACCTATGTACTTCAACTCGCAATCATTGCAAGGGATCTGGTAAACCAGATTATTTTGCTTAATTGCATCGATAACATCTTTGAACCTGCAAAGCTTGTTTCTAAGCGAGTCTGTTGATTTGAATGCCACTCCACTTGAATCCTAGCAAGCATTATTAAGAATTCTGCGTAATGCTTCTGAGGTGCCTGCCTTTTTTGTATAGTAACACAGCAGAGTCTTTGAAATCTCTCTCTCTCTCTCTCTTTCAACCCTGTCAGCATTATTACCATTAGTAGTGCTATTATTATTAATAATACCTGTATTATTAAACCATTGCTACTACTACTACTACTACCACTGCTAGTACTTTACTTTCGACTTCTCATGAATTCATTGATAAATTTTCAAGGGTAATTATTGAGACGTAGAGTATTCTTGATGTGTCCAATTTGTTGTCGCAGATTTTCCCATCTACTAGTAAGCTATTTCGGTCTATCACTTAAACATTTAACTATACCTACTTTAACTGAAATGGGGTTGAATGATTCAAAGTGTAAGTAGCGACTCGAATGGGTAGGTTTCTTATGGACACTAGTCTCTAGATTTCCTTCCCATTAGGCCTATAGTAGACATAAGAAGCACTCCAACCTACGAGTTGTCTAAATATTTAGCAATGGTGTCAGGCCCAATAAGAAATCACTTTAAGTCTCGACTTACTGACTCTTATGACTTAAAGCATAGGTTAGAGGACATACACTTAGACGAGAGTGAAAAAATGGTTAGTTTTGACATAACTGGCCTTTAGACAAATATACCGATTGACATGGCTGTAAAGGCAGTTAGAAATGGGCTTAAAGATTACAAAGAACTTACGCAGCGAACTAAGGTGCCGATTGAGGAAATAATACTAGGACTACGATTGTGCCTAACATGTTTTTAAGTTTCAAAATAAAATATATAAACAAACTGAACGTGTTGCCATAGGATCGCCAATATCCCCTGTCGTCACAGACATATTTATGGATAGTTGGGAACAGATGGCGCTTCAAACATCTAGTCCTACTCCAAAGATAAGATAAGAAATCTAGAGAAAATCTCGGTTGGTCATAGCTCCGCACACACCTTCACACAATCACACAGTAGGGTGGGATAGGGCAACAGTGTTGAAAACTTACTTAGTTGGATGGAGGGAGAAAGGGGGAGATTAATAACCGACTGAATCTTTGTTTATCGAATCAACACCAAATACATGCACCAATCGAAATGATTCTGTACCTGTCTCAGATATATTGAAAATTCTACTACCCTTGTCATCACAGGGAAGGACAGAGAGAATTAGGAATATATAAAGTCTGTGTTGAAGTTATGGAGTCACCTGATCTGATCTGAATATGGGCAATAGATTGAGTCCGAAACGTGGTTATCCAGTGAATGTTACTATTTCTTCACTGTGTAATATTTCTTATAAAGACTGAAATATAAATCTCTTGTTTTATGGTTAGTGTGTGGTGTGGTGTGGTGTGGTGTGGTGTGGTGTGGTGTGGTGTGGTGTGGTGTGGTGTGGTGTGGTGTGGTGTGGTGTGGTGTGGTGTGGTGTGGTGTGGTGTGGTGTGGTGTGGTGTGGTGTGGTGTGGTGTGGTGTGTTACTATTCATATTCTCCTCTATTGTCAATCTGAGACAAACAACAATGGTTTGAATAATGAACTTTACTGACGTTCAATTAATCTATTCATCGTTTGACAACTAAGCTAACGGTATAGTATAGAATTTGATTAACAGGATTGATCGTCCTGTTACAATGAAACAGGATAAAGATACGAAGAGTTGAAGTCAGTTTGATCTACACTAGAAAGACGAGAAACTCCTTCTGAAGAAGAAGATAAATAGGGTGACGAAAGATTCTCAATAAACATGACATAACAGTCCATATTCATGTGATAAATACCCTACACTTACAAATAGTGAAATTTAAAGATGAATACCCTGAAGAAAATCAACAGAAATAGGTTTATGAAATCAAATGAGTAGACTATACTGTAATGAATGTCGAGGAGATAACCAGATAGGCAAATGTAAGAATGAAAGAGCACTAACTATGCGTAGAGTAGATTCTGAAAAAACTTCAGTATTAGACTTCAGAAAGTAGAAAACAAATCGTAAATGGTCCTACACTCCATAGAAATGGGACATAAAAATAACTTTGACGGAATCACCGTAGACTGCTATCAGTTGGGGGAACAATGGAAACCTAGAAGCACTAAAAAGCTGTTTCGTCAGACTAGTATGGGACTCCTCAGTAATGCGCACCCACGACCCCCAGGTTCCGTGGCCAGCAAGTTACCATGAGAACCAGTGGTGCATATTTCCAGCTTCTATTAGTTCATGATATTGCTGAACTGCCACCCGATGTCATTGTTGAGTAACTGTCCTCATCACCATCAGGCGCTGTTCCCACGGTCACGACTTCTCATTGCAACTTCGGGAATACCTCTCGAAGCTAGTCACCAATGAGCACCAGTTCAATTGAATTTCGAGGGAGTTGTGGAGATTCGGAAATATTTCAAATTCTTATTCGTTGTAGGCTGACATCAGTTGGAGGGACAAAAGAAACTTGAGAACACTGGACAGCTGTTTCGTCCCAGTATGAGACTCTTCAACAGTGTGCACCCACGATCCCCTCTCAGAGATTGAACCCGCAACCTTCAGGTTCCGTATCTCAGCACTTTATCATTGAGTCACTGGGTTGGGATCCAGTGATCTTTAATTCTAACTTCTGTTAGTTCACGAAATAGCACAACCACCACCTAATGTTATCTTTGAGTAACTATCCTCACGACCATCAGGCTTTGTACAAAAAGGTTTTTTGCGTTATACCAAGAAAGATTGACAGCCTAAGCCCTACATAGATGGACATATCCATCTCAATTGTTTGAGTAGACAAGATATTGTACAGTTGTCTACCTTTTGGCAATTATTGATTAGTAAGAAGTATGACTACAGCACTTAATTACTTTTAGCAACAGTTTCAACTTTATTATCTCTCTATCGGTAACACTACATAATCTAGATTAATTTGACTCATTATTATTACCATTATTATAGTCACTTCCATCATTACTACTATTCGTTTCCAATGTAATCCCATAAACCAATGAAAAAGCTTCAATTATTTACTGAACTTAGGCTCAGATGACCGCCAATGAACCAATCATCAAATATACAGAAGGGAGTGGAAATTGATTGGACTGAGGACATCACGCACCAGGCCAGGTAGTCGAGTGGAAACCAGATGGAAAACAGTGAGTTGGGCGTCTGAGGTGAGGGTGGCATGGAGGAGATCGAGTGAGGAAGAGATAAGAGCTTCTAGGTAGTAGTGGAGCCAGGTTCGAAAGATTACAGAGAAGAGAGTGTAATGGAGGTGTGCTACTGAAGCTCTATGTTCCATCAGGAACCCAAAGGACAAATAATAATAGTAATAATCATAAAATTTACTGAACTCCTATTACCATTTACAGCTAAAATGACAAACGAAGGGAATAGTTTAAAGATCCATACAAAAGAATCTCACATGGAACAGACAACTTGCTGATTTTCATCGTTGACTATCTTTGAACATTAAATGATATCTGATTCTTTCTTCATATCACATACAGTCTTTATTATCTTCATTCGTGATACTTTGGAAAATGAACTAGACTTTGTGAAAAGTGTTTGGCTTGAAAATTTGTCTTCTGTTTGTCTTCGAGTGATCTAGTCAATCGGTTACACAATAAAGAAAGGAGAACAGCTTTCAATTCTATGTTAGAACAGAGAGTTTGTGTATACCTTATGAAAGATGTATACGTGAAATTTCTTCAAATTACAGAAGACTATACTTTCTCTCACCCCTTTTATATTCTGATTCCTTATAACAATTATCAATTTTTTTTAACCATATTGCATCATTCCTTTCATCTTGATAAGTCATCTTCTAATTACTATTTTAAGTATTTCATAACTCTTTTTTATAAAAACTTTTTCATGAAAGATTCCTTTTCTGTTGTCTAAATAGTGTCTTGTTTCCATGCAATTGTACTACTTGATTATGATGTTGGTGGAGGGAACATCTCATCACTGTAAATTCCAACGTTTTATAACGTAGAGAAGGAGCTATATCTCATTGGGTTATGAAAGTTGTGGATCGTGCGTACTACAAAAACTTGGACATTCAAGTGGTATCATTAACCGTCATATGATCGTTATGTAACTTACTGATTACTACATGAAGCTACACAAGATTGATAAATGAATTTAGAGCTGAAAAGCAAGGTATTCAAAGGAGGATCAGTTTACGATTGGATCTGTTAAACTTCATTGGACACAATATTCATTCCTGAAGATGATATAAACAGTGGAACCTGTGAAGTCTTTCATGCCATCATCAAGAATATGAAAGGTTAAATGTATCGTTAGAACAAATGATATGCATTTTAAGATTTTCTACGTCTCTTTATTAGATCTGAACACTTATTGAGACCCTCATAATCACATAAATAACTTACAACTGAATTCAGGGCACGCGTTTCGCCTAATGGATAAATCTTTGACGTTTAAAGTGGTACCTACTGACAGCCAGTCAGTCGCCATGGTAACAACGTCACTCACTAGTAAAATTATATTCAGTTGACGAGTGAGTCCTGGAAAAGGATGAAATACACCTCTAGAATTTCAATGGTCATCACGAACTAAAATTTTATAACTTTCTTCATGAATACTAAACGGATATGAAATAGAATGTCGATTTGACTTCCAGCGAGAAGTTAGGCAAATCAAACAACAAATTATTGTCTACTACATAAAGGTGCTACAGAATCAGTGAGATATACTACTAACCAGCAAAATAAGTAGTAATAGGCTACTTGTTTTGATGAGTAGATATCAGCTTTTGGAGTGTGAATGCTAGTAACATCTGACGTTTTTTTCACATGTCTAAAATGATAGTTGTTTAAAGTAGAACTCAGGCAAACTGACATCATTTAGAGAAGCATTTACAATGTGATAGTGCTCGATGGGTGTTTCGTCCCAGCATGTGACTCTTCAGTAATGCACACTAATCAACTCCAAGACTAAAGAGAACTGAAGGTCTCAAGTTTGATCCCTGGAGTGATGGTGAGCTTATTCTGACAAGGAGTTACACACTAGGATGAAACAGATGTTCACTGCTCTCATGTTTTTAATGACTCTAAACGGTGTTAGTCCATGATGAATCCTTTGTGGAAACTCTGATATATTCATCATTGGTTTGATATAAGAGTGTTACTTTAGCCTTCAAATTTAATAAACTTGAATGATAATTCAATGTAAGATATCCATTTGGTTGTTGTGGTCTTTATCATCATTATTCCTTTTTTTATTGCATTACAATAACCTTAGTATTTGTACTTTTTTGTTGAACCTTATAATTAAGTCACTAGGAATCAGCATTTCATGAACACTTTGCAAACCAGTGTAAGGAAGAACTCAAAGCCTTTAAAAATGGTTAGTTTTTTTTCATGAATATTACTACTACTATTGATACAGACAACTTCGCTTGGTTAACTAGTTCACTAGTTACTAGACGGTCCTAAGCCCGAATAAAGAGGAAGGTTGGGCATAGGGTTAACAACTCTACCCCGTAAAACCAATCTAACCCCTAAAGAAACTTCAAAGGGCAAAGAAAACATAAAATTAAACTTATTCCTCGTTGGAATCGAAGAGACGAGATGAAAGCCTTAGAGAATCCAGTCAGCCGATGTGTCTTCGTTTCTCTCGATGAAAGCAAAAGTGAGAATGGGGAAATGGAATATCCACAAAATGTCTGAAGCTGACTACCAAGGTTGCCTAGATTGCAAAAGAGATGAGAAGGTATAGCATAGAGGTGCTAGGAATCTGCGAGGAGTCTGCAGATGGAGTGGAAGTGGACTGTCACGACTGTCAGCTCCAGAGTAAATAATCTACCCCAATATTGTCACACAGATGACAACCACGAGCACACTGAGTTTTGCAGTGGCTATCATGATATCCCCAAGAACATAGAAAGCTCTCACCTAGTGGGAACCAGTCTCCTCCACGATCAGGATCACGACGGCAAGGTTCAACTCAAAAGGAAGAAAACTCGCAATCATACAATGCTATGCTACACTACGCACCTACAAATAATGCAGATGAAGAGGAAAAGGAGAAATTCCACAGACAACTGCAATCAGTACTAAACAAGACTCCAGTTGGCGACATCAAAAATCTAATGAGTGGGGTGACATGAATGCCGAACTGGTAACAAACAACACAGGGAGAGAACCAATCATGAGCCGAGAAGCACTCAGCGAAATGAATGAGAATGGAGAACTGTTTGCAGATTTCTGCGCATCCAACGATTTGGTGATTGCAGTTACTGTGTACAAACACAAGGATATTCACAAAGCGAGCGACATGGATTTGATTTCACCAGGACACACTGCACTAGAAATCAGATCGGCTTCATCTCAATGTGAAGAGAGTGGAGACGCAGCCAGCCTGATGGACACAAGATCAAATCAAGAATGGGTGGTGCTGGGCAGATGTAGGTTCACATCACTATCTAGTATCTGGTGCAAGGAACCTGCCTTCAAATCAATTTGAAAGCTTTCAAAGTAGCTGCTGATAGACCATAGTTCAAGTTGAACACCCAGAACAGAAACTGATGGACGAAACTACCAAGGATATCTTCACGTCAGCCATCAGGACAAAATCGGAGATATTGAGCAACATCCCCGAGGAAACCTGCCTGGAAGAACACTGGAACTCTTTGGAACAGACGTGGGAGGAAACCTGCATAACCGTTTTAGGAAGAAAGAAGAAGCAAGACAAGGAATGGATCTCGACAGACACATGGAAGCTGGTAGAGCAGGAAGAGGAAGATGGTGAGCTAGAAGATGAACCAGTGCAAGGATGCACAACGAAAAGAGGAAATGAGTACAACGTATAAAACAGTTTACTGGACAAAGAAGTGAAGAAGAGTGCGCACAAAGATAAGAGAAACTTTTACGACACACTAACAAGTGAAGCAAAACAGGCTGCTTTACTGGTAGGAGAGACCTGACAACACTAAATAAGATAATATAGCCAGTATGATAAGAATAAGCAACAAACCAACTAAGAACCTATAGCTCAACAAACTTGCAGAAGAAGAAGTGAAGATGGATTGGATTGGATTGGGCATACGCTGAGAATGCCTATTGGGGACATCAAGCGCCAGGCCAGGCCAACGAATAGAATCCAAGTGGGGAACGAAGAGTTGGGCGTCCGTGTCGAAGGTGATATGGAGAAGATGGTGCGAGGAAAAAAGAAAGAAAGAAAGGAAGGAATGAAAGCTTGTTGGCAGTCGTGGAGTCGGGTTCAAAAGACTGCAAAGAACAGAGTGTAATGGAGGCGTGCTACTGAAGCCGTATATTCTACTAGGAACCCAAGGGAAAAATAATAAAATAATAATACAGATAGAGACAGACAGACAGGCAGACATTCAGGTAGACACTGTCAGACAAATGAGAGCAGTCTTGATCTCGTTTGAACCAAGTCCTACTTCTGCTAAAATATGACGTTGATGTAGGCATTGACCCGGCATGCGCAACACGTAAATCCAAGCTACCTCAGTCACTGAAAGTTAACAAATTAGCCGATTGATTTCCATTCCTTCCCTGATCACCGTCATCTAACCTTGAGATTGCTCACACAATGATTCTATCATATGTAAGTAATCATATAAAAACATCTAGGATGTTTGTATCTCATATTTTTTCAGAATGTATGTCTCATAGCCATACAACTGGAGAAAATGAACTGCAGCTCCGTATACTCATCTTTTTAAACATACTCAGATATCCGACCGCTTCCAAGAATGATATAGTTAACAAGCACCGAACAGGTCTTATGCATCGAAGCTGAGATCTTATCAATAACCAACTCATTCTGACTGCTTAAGGCGCTCAGAAGCCTATGTAGATTATCAGCGTCTTTACCAAACAAGACCTTGTTATCTGTGTACTGCATGTCAACTAGGTGCCCTCCTGGGAGTTATTCAATCCCTAGAAATCAATATATTCGCACGATTATCACAAAATTTAATATTATGGTGACAGTGAATCATCATGACTGCAACAACTCTCCATAAGGACATACAGGTCTGTGCGAGTTTGTGCAGAGACAATACTATTACCACTCACACACTTATAAACCAAATTACATCTTAATAGGATAATCAGTTTACAGCTGATGTGAAAAATTACACAATCGGTCCACCTTGATATTTCCCATAGATGAGTAGTTTCCCAAGTGTCCAACTGTGATGTAAATAGGGTTTCCGTTGGGAACCACACCCATCTAACCAAAAGCCTAAGATTTTAAAAACTATTAAAATAGACTACTGAATAACTTGTAAGTAGTTAAAAATTACTTAGACAAATCTGTTGATTTCATCAGTCAGATCAAAGTGGTCTTAGAGGCGAGCCAGTTCGTCAGTAGTGTGCCTGGACAAATGTATTTTCTGGAGATCAATTAATTCATGTCACCTGAATCTTGCTGGTTGACTCACATGAACCTGTCTATCATAAATACTACTCAAGTTGTTCAGTAGTCTTTTACTTCAATATACGTTTTTCGTCTTTTACAAAATAAATGGCAGTGATTTGTTGAATTGTTTTGTGTTTACAGAGACCTGAGTTAATTTCAACATGTAACTATCCATTGACTGAATCCTTCAGGTATCCTTATTCCGATATTTGTTCAGTCTACTCACCATCTTTTCATCATGGTGAGTTGGTTTGTAATTTAATTATTACCCTATTATATTGTTTTATTATTATGCATGTGTACCAACTAGGCATTCATGACAACGAAGAACATCTTCAAAGTATTATTGATCAATGAGTGGTATAAATCGGTGAATCATTGAAAAGCTGAGAGCACTAAGGATAATTGAGGAACCATGATCTCTGGAATCAACTGGTAAAGGATAGACTACAGTTGGATTGAATAATCCTTGTTTTATATAGCGTTCAGCGATGTAGATTATATCAGTTACCACTTAAATGGACACGTTTCATACGCTGACAAGTCATCTATTCAGCGAAATCCTTCAATCCATTAGGTTGTTCAATATTGAATGACTGAGTGTCAAGATTCTTCGACAATTGTCTGATAATTCTGTAATACATTACGCGTACATTCCATGTTTCTACACCCTCTACTAATCTTAAGTTTTCTCGAAGTACATGATAAAACCTCTCACCTTGTCTAACACAAGTCAACCGGTGGTGTGCAGGCGCATATAGGCACTTCATTTGACGAAATTTTGTCTTCTTTCCAAAGAAAACATGAAGCATCGTAGCATCTGCGCTGTGATCATAAACATTAGAATAAGGTGGAGCAGATAAACCAACGCAGTCATACAATTGAGTCTAGATGCTAATCAGAACGTCAACCACCGCAACAACAATACCACCGGTATGTGGAGGCAAGAAGAAAATATGGAGCTTTAACTGTCTCAACAACAGCCAAAACAAGTTGAGAGCGATGCTGAATATATATATATTTTTTGAATGACCTTGAAAAACACTAAATTCATTGAGACGTTAAAACAGATAATAACCAATGAGAATTCAGCCTTCAAAAGCAGCGGGGAAAACAAAAGCTAACAACTGCGCTAAAACAACAATTATATAGTTATTTTAGGATTATCAGGCAAAAGTTAAGCAAAATTAGGAGTATATAGTGATACACTTTTTTGCTCAACTTCATGACAGTGTACTATTCACAAGAAGAAATTCATCTGTATTATTTCTTAGATAGATCATAGTAATCACAGATTAGAGTTCGTAATCATATGAAAACAATTCGTTAAAATTCAGATAAGAGATGCTTGTCGTACCACGGTGACCTAGTGATTAACTCTCTGAATTCTGAAGGGATGGGTCGCACGTTCGAGTCCCTGTGGAAATAGCATCATACACTGGGAGGGGGGGGGGACAGTAGATACCTCGACCTGGATAGTAAGTCCCAAAGACGCAAAACTACGCAACCGCATATGAGTTAGGTAAAAAACCGAATGTAATCGTAAAATGTCGTCGAATAAGTCTGCTGATCTTATGTCGAGAAGTGACATCGGTAGATAGAACTGTGGATGCTGTAAAAAGAGTTGAATTTTTGTGCGTTACTCGTGAGGTTCTTGGCTTCAACTCTGTTGTAGGATGATGAATGTACACTGCTGAGAGTTTCCATACCTGGGATTCAAGCGAATGTTAATTGTTGGCATATTCTTAATGTGCTTTTCTCCAACCAATGTCAGAACGTACAAAAATAACTACACTCTCCAGACAGTAGGACTACAATCATTGAAATGCACATTTAATCCTCTTTGGATGTACTTGCACTTCAATGAGTGATGGCGTTCAAATCCGTCGCTTCAAACGTCAAAGCGTTGGCCACTAGTCCACTGAGATATGAGAATTACTGTTGCTTGGAGGTAATCGATATGAAGCCTTGCGTGCCAGAGGTTTGTACTCGTCAGCAAGGCGTGTCTACAACCTTGAGGAAACTAACCTCCACTGTGAGGCCTAAGTAGTTAAGTGCTAACTTCGCTGACTGCAACCCTGGATGACACAGGTCTGAATCCCAAGGGGGACATAATTCCCCTCGAGGTTTCAGATCCGCTTTATTGACGTGTATTAATAACCATGAAATCACAACCAAAGGCTTCCTATCGACTGCCTCCAGCCAATCAAAATTCATTAAAGCACACAACTACGGTATATCTCCTAGCTTGCTGGTTAAAGCAAAAATAAAAACTCATCATCATTTATCCCTTGAGTTCCTATTGGAACACAGGGATTCAGTAGCGCGTCTCCACTCCACTGCGTTCTATGCAACCTTTTAAACCTAACTCCACCATTGCCAACAACCTCTTATATTTTCCTCGCACGATCTCCTCCATGTCACCATCACCTCGGACGCCCAACTCGTCGCTCCTCATCTGGGATCCACTCGAGCACCTGGCCTGGTGTGTGATATCCCCAGTCAGCATTCTCAGTGTATGCCCAATCCAATCCATCTCCACTTCCTTCCAGTGCATGTTTGTTGAGTGATAGGTTGTTGGTTGGTTCGTTACCAGCCAGCCAGCCAGCCAGCCAGCCAGCCAGCCAGCCAGCCAGCCAGCCAGCCAGCCAGCCAGCCAGCCAGCCAGCCAGCCAGCCAGCCAGCCAGCCAGCCAGCCAGCCAGCCAGCCAGCCAGCCAGCCAGCCAGCCAGCCAGCCAGCCAGCCAGCCAGCCAGCCAGCCAGCCAGCCAGCCAGCCAGCCAGCCAGCCAGCCAGCCAGCCAGCCAGCCAGCCAGCCAGCCAGCCAGCCAGCCAGCCAGCCAGCCAGCCAGCCAGCCAGCCAGCCAGCCAGCCAGCCAGCCACAGTTCCTTCTTCCTTATTCTTTCTGGAGTAGGCAGTTGTTGATGAATGTATGTAGTCTGTTGGAAATGCCTTTCGTAACACACCAAGTCTCTCAACTATCACGTAGAACCACTGACTGACTTCACTGCATTGGTGTTGAAAATCTGGATGTTGTTCACGCTTTATGCTGAGTACAGTGCAGAAGATCTCCACACTGGTTTCAGGCTAATGAACACCTGTCTTGCTGTGTTTCCGATCCCGGCTGGCTTTTGACATCCTCATCTGTGCCTGTGCCGCCACCTGTAGTTGGAACGATGTTGCCTACATAGGTGTAGGTGAAAGAGGCTACTTCCTTTAAGTTTCTCCCATTGATGGAGATTGGAGCTTGTTGTTGGTGGTGGTGGAGTTGGTTGTGTATGTTCATCACCTCCGTCTTCTCTACGTTCACCTGAAAGAAGTCCCGTCTTTGCTGTCCTGCCTCGCCTCTTCTGTTAACTTGTTAGTTTTCGCCTGTGGATCTTCAATTTTGTTCGACAAGATAATAGACATAAATCGTGGTGGGCGAAATCCAAATCTTCTAGGTTCTTTTTCGCAGTCCGGCGTATGCCCCTGTTCTCGCTCCTCACTATTTGCTGCATGATGCAGTCCAGTCGACCACAATCAGGAATATCATGGGTGATAGTAGGCAGACTTGCTTTACTCCTGTCTTCACTACACTTCGAAAGCATCACTGAGCTTCCCATTATGAATTACTTGGCATGTGGCATCTTCATATAGTTGTTGAATGAGCCTGATAAAGGTGTGTGGTATTCCATAGTGTTGAAGCATCTGCCAAATTAAATGAAATTGGTCGCTCTCCCATGACCGGCTTGAAGACTTGTAATGACTGATTGATATTAGGGTTGTATTCGCAAGAGAATAACATCTCCTAGAGAACTATTGAAATCCTGAGAGTACTGGACAGGTTTTTAATCCTAGTACTGGGGTCCTCAACAGTGGGCATCCATAACTCCATTGAAGGTCATGCTCACTGTAAGAATTGGAGATCCTGATGAGATGTTTAGTAAATTTATTGAGGAGATGCATACTGCGGACGAATTTCAATGTTTCTTTAACTGATGTTGAATATTTCATCATTTTTCTTTCTACCTACACAATCATTCACATAGATCTTAAGAGATTATACCCAGTGAATTACACCAATCGTATCAGGAAGAAGAAAATACGAAGCACTGAAATGTACAGAACGTTATCTAATCAAACAGATTTCAATAATGAACCATATCGTCAGTTAAATGGGTCTTACTTAGGTATCTCTGAACAGCGTAAACATTTGAAGCCTAGAAAATTAGATATGAATCAATCTATTCGTCAATATGTTGATAAGATGAAAACCATGAAGGTTTATAGGCTGAATCAACATCAACCAAGTTACCAAAGAAGATCTCATACTCTACCATATACTAATACGACTGAAGAGACAGCAATAGATATTCATGACACGATGCAGAATGTTACAAATTCATCCAATATCCAAGAAATGGATGAAGATTGTTCAATAAATTGGCGCAATCAACACGATTACTTTGAGGTAGGCCTTTTTCTTTTACTCGAATTGATAAGTTATAACAACAAAATAACTATAGTGTATCTATTGAACATGGCAATGAGTATCGTAATTCAATAGTCTAATGGGCAACGCTTTGATTTTGTTCTAGTTGGAACAAAATCACACGAGTTGACAAATGATTCTAAAAGACAGCGAAAAACACATCCACATTTCAGTTGTTTGTTTGACTGAACTTATTATTATATTCTATTACTTTGTCCCTTGGGTTCAAAGTGGAACATAAGGCTTAAGTAGCACGCTTCCATTACACCCTCTTCTCTGCAATCTTTTCAATCTGGATCCAAAACTGCCCACAAGCTCTCATTTCTTCGTCATACAATCTCCTCCACGTCACCTCCGACTTGGACGCCCGAATAGTCGTTTCCCATCTAGGTTGCACTCAAGCACCTGGACTGGCGTGTGATATCCCCAGTCAGCATTCTCAGTGTATGCCCAATCCAATCCATCTCCACTTCCTTCCAGTGCATGTTTGTTGAGTGATAGGTTGTTGGTTGGTTCGTTACCAGCCAACCAGCCAGCCAGCAACAGTTCCTTCTTCCTTATTCTTTCTGGAGTAGGCAGTTGTTGATGAATGTATGTAGTCTGTTGGAAATGCCTTTCGTAACACACCAAGTCTCTCAACTATCACATAGAACCACTGACTGACTTCACTGCATTGGTGTTGAAAATCTGGATGTTGTTCACGCTTTATGCTGAGTACAGTGCAGAAGATCTCCACACTGGTTTCAGGCTAATGAACACCTGTCTTGCTGTGTTTCCGATCCCGGCTGACTTTTGACATCCCTGTCTGTGCCTGTGCCACCACATGAAATTGGAACGATGTTGCCTACATAGGTGTAGGTGAAAGAGGCTACTACCTTTAAGATTCTCCCATTGATGGAGATTGGAGCTTGTTATTGTTGGTGGTGTTGTTGGTTGGGTATGTTCATCACCTCTGTCTTCTCTATATTCACTTGAAGTCCTATCTTCGCTACTCTGCCTCTTCTGTTAACTTGATAGTTTTCGCCTGTAGATCTTCGAGTTTGTGCGATATCAGACACACAAGTCATCACTGGCGAAATCCGAGTCTTCTAGAATCTTTTCCGCGGTCCAGCGTATGCCCCTGTTCTCGCTCCTAACTGTTTGTTGCATGATCCAGTCCACTATAATCAGGAATATCATGGATGATAGTAGGCAGCCTTGTCTTACTCCTGTCTTCACTTCACTCCAAAGGCATTACTGAGCCTCCCATTATGAATTACTTGGCATGTGATGCCATTGATAATAGTTCTACTACTAATGGTAATAATGGTGATAGGGTTAAGAGAGAATTCAAAGCCTCTGCTATGTTACCATTCGGGGAAGGTAGGCACCTTGGAAGCACTACGCAGAATTCTTAATAAGGCTGGTTGGGATTCAAGTGGGGTGGCATTCAAATCAACAAACTCGCTTAGAAACAAGCTTTATAGGTTAAAAGATCCTATCAGTGCAATTAAGCAAAATAATCTGGTTAACCAGATCCCTTGCAATGATTGCGAGTTCAAGTACATAGGTGAAATCAGTCGACCAGGGTCGATTAGACTATCTCAGCACAAAACTTAGCTAAATGAGGATTAGTAGATAGTTATAGGATACGAAATCCAGCGAAAGGCTCGGCAAAAGCTCTGCATCTGATGTCACACAATCACACAGTAGGGTGGAATAACGCGGTATGGTTGAAAACTAACTTAGTTGGATGAAGGGAGGGAGAAATTGATGATCACTGAATTTTTGTTTATCGAATCAACACCAAATACCTGAGGCAGTCGAAATGATTCTACACCTGTCCCAGATACCTGTAAAATTCTACTACCCTTTTCATCACAAAGAACGAGAGAAAGAATTAGGACTATATAAAGACTGTCTGCAAACTTGACTGGTTAATTAGTTCACTAGATACCAGCCGGTCCTAAGCCCGGGTAAAGAGGGAAGGTTGGGCATAGCATTGGGATAGCAACCCTATCCCGTAAAACAAATCTAACCGCTAAAGAAACTTCAAAGCACAAACTACATATAAAAAGTAACAACAAATTATTCCTCGCTGGAATCGGAGAGGCGAAATAACGCCAGTTGGTGAAAGCCTTCAGGAAGCCGATTGGCCGATGTGTCTACTCTCCTCTCGATGAAAGTGAAAGTAAACGTGGGGACATGGAATGTCCGCACCATGTTTCAACCCAGCAAGGCAGCCCACATTGCAAACGACATGAAGAGGTATCACACTGAAGTGCTTGGAATTTGCGAAAGCAGATGGAATGGGAGTGGACTCTCCAAACTGTCAACTGGACAATCAATAATCTACTCCGAAACTGTCACCCAGACAACAACCACGAGCACACTGAGTTTTGGAGTTGCCATCATGGTGTCCACAGCAGCATCGAAAGCTCACTCTCATGCAGTGGGAACCAATCTCCTCCTGCTGGATCATGACAGCAAGGTTCAACTCAAAAGGAAGGAAGGAAGGTCACAATCACACAATGCTACCCTAGGCACCTACAAATAATGCAGATCAAGAGAAAAAGGAGGAATTCTACAAACAACTTCAATCAACAATGGACAAGACCCCATCTCAGTTGGTGATACCAAAATTCTAGTGGGTGGGGTGACATGAATGCCAAACTGGAGGGGACAACACAGGAAGAGAACTAACCATGGGTCGAGAAACGCTCGGTGAGGTGATGAACGAGAATAGAGAAATGTTTGCAGAATTCTGTGCATTCAACGATTTAGTGATTGGAAACAGTGTGTTCAAACACAAGAATATCCACAAAGCGACATGGATTTCACCAGACACCAGGACACACTAAACATCAGACCGACTTTATCTCAATGCGAAGAAAGCGGAGATGCAGTCTACTTGACACAAGGTCAAGAAGAGAAGTAGATGTAGGTTCAGACCACTATCCAGTGCAAGGAAACTTCCAAATCAAGTTGAAAGCCTTCAAGCAAGCTGGTGATAGACCTCAATTCAAGTACAACACTCGGAAACTGAAGGATGAAACTACAAAGGAAATCGTCACGACAGTCATCAAGACCAAATGGGAGATATCGAGGAACATCCCTGAAGAAACCTGTGTGCAAGAAGACTGGAAGTCTTTGAAAGAGATGTGGAAAGAGACCTGCACAGCCGTATTAGGAAGGAAGGAGAAAGAAGATAAGGAATGGATCTCGATGGGCACATGGGAGCTGATAGAGGAGAGGAGGATGGTGAAGCAGAAGATAAACCAGTGCAAGAATGCTCAACGACAAGAGGAACTGAGTACAATCTATAAAACATTGGACAAAGAAGTGAAGAAGAGTGCACGCAAAGACAAAAGACACTTCTACGAAACACTGGCAAGTGAAGCAGAACAGGTTGCAGGTAAGAGACATAGAGACCTGACAACATTGTATCAAATAACCAGGTTCCTATCTGGGAAGAGATCAACACACATGAAACCGATAAAATATGATGACGGAAATTCAATTACGAAAGAAGAGAAACAAAGGAAACAGTGGGCCGACCACTTCAAAAACTCCTGAGTCGACCACCACCACCTGCACTTCGTCCAGAAATACCACATACAGCCGCTGAACTACAAGTGAACATAAGTCCTCCAACAAAAATGGAAGTCCTGAGTGCCATAAAGCTACTGAAATGCTGGAAAGCAGCAGGACCACATGGAATCCCGCCAGATACACTGAGAATAGACGCAGAAACAATAGTAGTGGACATGCTCACACCACTATTACAGAAGGTGTGGAAGGAAGAGAAGGTACCTGCCCATTGATGATTGGAAGAAGGGTTACCTTGTCAAACTCTCGAAGAAGGGAGACCTCAGTGTTTGCAAGAACTGGTGCGGAATCACTCTCCTGTCCACCCAAAGCAAGCAAAATATTAAGCCGCATCATCCTGGAGAGAGTAAGTGGTGCGCTGGACTCAAAACTAACACCCGAACAGTCAGGTTGGATTCAGGAAGTACAAATCATGTGCCGACCAAATTGCAACCCTACACTACGCATCGTCTTACAATAGAGTATAGAATGGCAGTCAACTCTCTACCTCAACTTCATCGACTTTGAGAAGGCCTTTGACGGCGTCGACCGAGAAGTAGTTTGACAGATAAATGCTTCAACACTACGGAGTACCACAAACCTTTATCAATCTCATTCAACAACTATATGAAGATGCCACATGCCAAGTAATTCACAATGGGAAGCTCAGTGACGCCTCTGGAGTGAAGTGAAGACAGGAGTAAAACAAGTCTGCCTACTATCATCCATGATATTCCTGATTGTGGTCTACTGAATCATGCAACAAACAGTTAGGGGCGAGAAGAGAGGGATACGCTGGACCGCAGAAAAGAACCTAGAAGATTTAGATTCCGCCCATCACGATTTATGTCTGTTATCTTGTCGAAAAAACTCGAAGATCTGCAGACGGAAACTAAGGAGTTGCCAGAAGAGACAAGGCAGGACAGCGAAGACGGGACTTCTTTCAGGTGAACGTAGAGAAGACGGAGGTGATGAACATACCCAACCAACTCCACCACCAACAACAACAAACTCCAATCTCCACCAATGGGAGGAACTTAAAGGAATTAGCCTCTTGCACTTGCACCTAACAAGGCAGCACAGATGAGGATGTCAAAAGCCGGCCACGATTGGAAAAGCAAGATAGGCGTTCATTAGTCTGAAACCAGTGTGGAGATCTTATGCGCTTAGCATGTGGAAGAAGATCCGGGTTTTCAACATCAACGTCAAGTCAGTGCTCCTGTATCGCTCAGAGACTTGGTGTATTAAGAAAGGTATTTCCAACAAACTACAGACATTCATCAAAAGCTGCCTACGCTGGCTCGTTACTGAAGCTCAGATAATCAGAATAATAAGAATAAGCAAGGAGGAACTCTGGCTGTGAACGAACCAACAAATCAAGAAGCTATCGCTGAACAAATATGCACTGGAAGGAAGTGGAGATGGATTGGGCATACACTGAGAAGGCCGACTGGGGACATCACGCGTCAGGTCAGGTGTTCGAGTGGAACTCAGATGGGAAGCGACGTGTTGGGCGTCTCAGTTGGGGGTGACATAAAGGAGGTCGTACGAGGAGGATATGAGAGCTTCTGGGCTGTCGTGGAGCCAGGTTGAAAAGTTTTCAGAAAACACAGCGCATTGGAGACGTGCTACTGAAGCCCTACGTTCCATCAGGAACCCAAGGGACAAATAGTAATAATAATAATAATGATAATGATAAAGACTGTCTCCAAGTTGTGGAGTTATTTACCTGATATGAATACGGACAATAGATTGTCTCCGAAATGCTACTGTTTCACTGTGTGATATTTCTAATAAAGAGACTAAAATGTATCAAATATTCAATTTATTCTTTTTATTTCAGATAAATAGAGGTCTTGAAAGTTTGCGTACTTCAGTATCACATAGACGTAAACAATTTTTAACAGATCAGTTGAATAAGCTGAACAGTGAAACAACTTTGAGAGGAATCAGTAATGAGTAAGTGTATTGAAGTTATATTCACCGCCTCTTCCTTTTAGAGAAGACAGTAATTGAAGTTCAATTGAGTAGTAATAAAATGTATGACGTTCAAATGCCGCGGTAATTATCTAACCTTTTAAAAGCACATTCAAAATTCAACAGTTCATATAATCGAACTTTTGAATTTATTTTCGACATTCATCTTCACTTCCTAACAAGATGGAAAGCGTGGAGAATATTTGTAGCTCAGGTGGATAGTCTCGGTTGTATTGTGTTCTCTAAGGAGCTGGGTTGTTTAATCGTGAAGCTTTCATTATCCTTCTAGACGGCATCAACAGCACTAACTTCAGTATGCAGTCAGGTGTCAATATCTCTCCGTGAGTGTTTTAGTAGCTTGCCTTGACGAAGCGGTCTATGATTGGTTGTTTCCTTTGATTGTTGTATCATTGACTGACTACATAAACTTTCCTGTTGGCTGTTTCTCTGCTTCACCTCTGACCTTTCTATCGTTTATCAACTTTCTTATTGGTTGATAGATTGGGTCTATGTCTATACATCTATTGATTGCTGACTGACCTAAATGCCAAGCTTCTAAGAATTCTGTGATACTTTTTGTGTTTCCTCTGATGATGTCGTCTAGAAGGACGATGAAAGTTTCACGATTAAACAACTCAGCTCAGAGAATACAATACAACCAAGATGGAAAGCATTTTTTCCACGGTACAAGAAAATTTGTGAAGTTTAAAGTAGAATAAAAAAGAACTATTGATAGTAGGTAACACAGTTGTCAACAACACATCAGGAATGAGATTCACTCAGTATATAGGACACTAATCACCTTAGCAATGATGGATAGTGACTAGCAGTAGAATCCAGGATACACATTTCGTCCTATTTGAGACTCTTTAGCTGGATGTATCTACCTCCCAGTAAGTGATTTTGTTCTCACTGGGGTTCGAATTTGGAACAATCGCTTCAAACGCTAAAGAGTTATCCTCTAGACCAATGACCTACGATAGTCGCTTCATGTGCGATGGGTATAGTTTTAGCATTATTACTTGTATCATACCGTCGGCATATGGGCTCGTGTATGGATGCCTCGATATTGCCTGTGTTCTAATTATATATTAATGATGAATCGTGGCTAGCAGTGGAATCCAGGATGAGGATTTCTTCTTATTTGGGACTCATCAGTTGGATGTACCTGCTTCCCAGTGCGGAGTGATGTTGCCCCCACCGAGACGGATTAATTCGATCCAATCAATGAAGATATGATATCAATAAAGTCCTGCTAGTTTGGTCCAATCAACGACAGGATAATACAAGCAATAATACTTATCGTCTTGGTCTGAAACTGAAGTGTTCAGAAGAGAAGGGGGGATAACCATATTGGGATTCAGTTCCAGTGCATTAATCACTATCTTCAAGATTGTTAGTATCTACATTTTATTCCACTTAATCACTTCAATTTTATTCATAAATATCTTTATCCTTTTATTGCAAAAAAAACACTTTTTTATTTAGTCAATTATCCAATTTGAAGAAAATTAATACTGAAAATGATAATTGTTCATTATTTATCAACTCAGAAATGTGGAATACTCAAGACAGTAGTGTTTACTTACCAAGAAAATTTCATAATGATGAATTGAATGAACAAATATGCAAGAGTAGTGATCAGATGTTGCCATATAATTGGAGAAATGATGTACTTTGTTCAACCAGTAAGTTAATGATTTTACTATCTTAAGATAACAGCTATAGTTTAGTAGACTAGTATTTGTACTGGACCTCGTAACTCAATTAGTAGAGTAGCGGGTCGGTAACCTGATGATTGCCGGTTCAAATTTGGCGTAAATTACTTATTTTAATGATGGATTGTGGCTAACAGTGGAATCCAGGCTGCGCAATTCATCCTGTTTGGGACTCATCAGCTGGATTTACCTGCTTTCTGTAGTTCCCACGGGGATTCGGACTCAGGAGTGATTGCTTCAACCACCAGGGCGTTATCCACTACACCACCGAGCCATAATAGCCACTCATAATCAAACAAAACTACTTTTGAGATATCTGATAATTAAAGTCCTGTCACCTAATATTTTTTAATATTTTTCGTGGTATAGATGTTGTGCCATTCCTATTATACATGTGTTAGATGCGTGTTGATTCGATGAACAAAGATTCAGTAATCAGTACATGTCTCTGTCTCTCTGCAACTGATTATACTGGACTTGGTTCCATAGCACCGCATTGTGTGTGGTTATGCATTAATCCAGACATTCTATTAGCTGAATGTGTTTTTCTATATTAATGATCTTATTCAGGTCTGTTATTCTATATTTATCTAAATTCCTATGTTCCACTATTCTAACTGACTCCGACAGGTTAGTTTCACCTATTTGCTTGACTTTACAGTCATTATATGAAATTTATTCAAGTCCTTGCACTGACTGATGAGGTTTTCAGCTCATTTAGACATTTGACTAAACCTGCCTTCATTGACTGACATTGGATGAAATGGCTTGAAGTGTAGATACCTACCTGCCTGTAGTATCCAAACCACCAACGTCTATCCTTCCTTTTATCCTCTAATCCAATATAGGTTATATTCCTTGTTCATTTTCTATTTCCTAAGTGAACCAGATTTCTCCTACTGCTACTGAGTTTATAGTTGTTAGAGAATTGTCGATATGTTCCGATTTCAACATGATGAATGCATCATCCAAAAATCACCATCAAGTTTTAGGTGCAGAATTAAACATTCGTAAAGCTTTATGTCGGCTAACTGATGCGTTTTTTGTAATGAATACCAACCAGTAAACAATAAACGTTCAATGTATCCTGCTAACTGTCTTCAAATATTTTTCAATACTGTGATGTCCTGTCACTTGATTCTAGAACTTGATGGAATCAATGTCCCCTATGAGATGCAGGTAAAAACCTCACCAATAAGCGATTCAAGCTGTCTTAGACTTCAAGTAGGACCGAGTTAGATCTTTTGTTGTCTCGTCACATGACCACTAAAGTGAGTGACTCGTTAACCTGGTGAACTCTAATCGATGTTAGATAGTTGGAAGCAATCGACTGGAAACCAGTGAATTAGGTTTCCAGCTTTACATCTAAGGTGGTACCAAAAAAAGCGTCACCACAAGAAAGATTTTACAGCAGTGTATACACCTCAACTCAATTAGTCTTCTTGAGAAGATTCACAAATCAGTGATAATCAGTGCAAATTACTGATTATTGATTTTAATTGAAGTCGAGAAGTGAATTTCGTCACAACTCATCAATCAAGTAAGCAATGCTCAAGAGGTTGAAACCATTGGTGCTCAGTTTGAGTATCAGTGGAAGATCAATACTATTCATTGGGGGGCAGGTTTATTCAACCGACGGCTGAATCCCAAATATGTATGTATGCATGTATGTATGTATTCACGTATACATTTGTGTGTGTGTGTGTGTGTGGAGAGGTAGCTAGTAGGAATATAGGGAATAACGATGCATATTACGCAACAGTGAAGTCTGGAACCAGTGTTTCTTCTAGTTTCCAGCTCATCAACTGAATTTAACTACCTGCCAGTGAGTGATGTTGTTTTCACTGTGATACGAATTGCAGACCCATAGCTTCAAACGACAGAGCATTATATGCTAGACCCCTTGTATTATTCCATCGTTGATTGCGCGGAAATGATCGCTCTCTGTTAGCATATAGGCTGCTGTTTGCATACCTCGGGTCCCAATTGGAACAACATCACTCACTGGAAGGCAGGTACATCCAGCTGAAGAGTCTCAACTAGGGAGAAATGTGCATCAAGCTGCATGCCACTGTTAGCGACTATCCATCATCATTATATTAGTTAAAACACAGGGAATATCGAGGCATCTGGGTAGGTACCAATTTGTCAATAAATACTGATCAATTCAACCGTGATGATATCTGTTCCCCTCAGAACCCATAAGTGAAGTTGTTTCATCTGAATGACTTCTGATTCTTCCTGTTTAAGGAATTCGGTGACTAGTACCACTTTCTCAAGTGAATGAGAATGAAAGTCATTAAAGATAAAGAATATGAGGTTTCATGTGTTCGACCATAATTGCCTTCGTAGCATAGTCCATTTTTCTTGATGTCATCAAATGAAGAGTGGAGAAGTCAGGCGTAGACTTCTGCAACTTACAGGAGCGTCAGTTGATGACGTTATAAACTCTCATTGACTCACATAGCTGAGAAGTGTGTTACATATGCCTAGTCACTATCTTGCTGCCCAGCATTTACTGAAGTAGATCTAGGCTGGAAAAAAGCTCTTGGCGGCCAGAATAAAACATGGCATCATTTCCTGAATTCGCTGACTGATAGTCTGAGCCATGTAAGGAAATTTAGACTACCGGGTTGGCGTCCACATGGCAACAGAAATCAGTTGTGTGTTACGCTTAAAGTGATGGCTCAAATTCCATCTTAATGGGGTAGACGTCTTCACACTTCACATGAATTTGTCATCTATGCATATCAATCGTAAACTGGAAATTCTTCATTTGACTTCTTCTCTCAATATTTGTTCTCAATTTATATCCAGTTAAACTGATACTTTTTACAACAAGTTCATAATCAGAACTAAATGGATTCAGCTTGACAGGAAAGATGATTAGTGGCTAGGTACTAGATACCATGATATGAACTTCGTCCCAGTTGAGATTCACTCGTCAGTTGGATACACTTGCCTTCCAGTGAGTAGTGTCGATGTTCTCGATGAAGCTAGAACTCATCACTTATGACTCCAAACATTGCAGCGTTAATCACTAGGCTACTAAATCGTAACAGAACTAACTTCTTGATTACAATCAAAATCAGCTGTCAGTAATTTACACCGAATATTATTGATATGTGCGCTTTTGAACAAGATTAATTGAGTTGAAGTATGAACTACTGTAAAATCTCTCGTGTACTTAAAAAACAACTTGGATATTAAACTGTTAGGTAAGTGGAAAAATTCATCGAAACTTAGTTATAAGGCTTCTATTCGATCGTCTTCAACTATTTAACACCTATCAGAGTTCATCACGAAAGTGAGTCTATTAACACTCAGTGGACAACTAACGCATCTAATCCAACCTTACATAATGTTTACTGTGGCTTGAACATTTTAGTGGTAAAATCTTTGCCAGTGATTAGCATCTCATACGGGGGAATATCGATCCCCTTTAGTTTGGAAATATGCCTTACTGATGAATTCCATCAAGTATAAAAGTTGGGTGAATTAATGTTCTTTAAAGTTTAATTCAATTTATTCCTTTTTCTTGTTCACATTTCAGATAGACGATTCCATACAGAGTCAGAAAATTTGACAGGTAGTAAGATGTATCGATTCAACAATGATATTCATAGACATCGGTATCGAGAAGAATCTGCAATCAACTGTAATGACTATGATAAGAAGTAAGTTATTTGTACACAACAAAACGAATGAATAGTTTCTATGTGATGGATTACATTGTTACACTGTAAAGGATTGATTTCCACGCTACTTTGAAGAAGATCAATGTCTTTGTGTCGACTTGGTTTGTGCCTTTTTTACTTCTGACGATCACCTTTACAACAAAACTTGTGAGCTGAGTGGGAAAGCAATAATTGGCACGGTATTTTGTGTTAATAGCTCAGACGTCAATCTGTTGAATGGTAGAATTATTATAATGATTATTTGTCTCTTGGATTCCTAGTGGAACATAGGGCTTCAGTAGCACGTAACCATTTCAAACTCTTCTCCTCAGTCTTTTCAAACTGGCTCCACGTCTGCCCAAAAGCTTTCATTTCTTTCTCACACACCATCTCCTCCATGTAATCCTTCGACGTCCAATCCGTCGAGGGCCCAGCGCGTAATGTCCCCAGACCGTCTTCTTAGTGTATACCTGATCCAATCCATCTACACATTCTCATTCTGCATATTCGTTGCGAGGTGGCATCTTGCTTCGTTGACTCGCTACCAGCCAGAGTCACTTCCTCCTTGCTTATTCTTTCTTCCCTATTCATCTCATCTTCACTATCCAGTGAGCGTTAGTGACAGCTGTTGTTCATGTATGTCTACAGTTTGTAGGAAATGCTTTTCGTAACGCACCACCAACTTTGTCAACCATCACATAGAAGCAAGCAATGACTTACTTGACTGACTTAGTTTTGAAAATCAGGATATTGTCCAAGCTTTATGCTGAGTGCAGTGCAGTAGATCTCCAAACTGATTTCAGATAAATGAAGGAAGACCTTCCTTTCTGTCTTTCCGATCGTGGCTGTGTCTATGCCATCTGTAGTTGAAAGTATGCTGTCTCCTAGATGGTGAGGTGAAAGAGACACCTTCCTTTAGATTTCTCCCGTTGGTGGCAGGTGGTACTTGTTGTTGTTGTTGCTGGTTGGGTATCCGCATCACCACTGTCTTCTCTACCTTCGCCTGAAGGAAGTCCCGTCGTGATTCGCTGCCCTGCCTCGCTTCACCCCGCCTATTCTGCCAACTTCTTATTTTCACTTGTGGATCTCTGACTTCATGCGACAAGACATTAGACATAAATCATCATAAGCTACGCCCAAATCTCCCAGGGTCTTTTCATCGGTCATACAGCGTATGCCCGTCTTCTCACAGCTCATCACAGTTGTTTCTTGTATAATCCAGTCCAGTCGACCACAATAAGGAAGGTCATGGGTGTTAGTAGGCAACCTTGTCTTACTCCTTACTGTCTTCACTTCACTCCAAAGGCATCACTAAGCTTCCCTATTCATCTCCAAGAAATACATTACTGTATAGTGCTTATAAGTGACTTAATTCTAGATGGATATCATGAGGTTCTAATGAGAAGTCGTCACCTCTGGGGTCAACCAGTCAGAAATGAAGTGGATGCTAACTGAAGACCTTAAATGATGGTCGCACAGAAGTTGGAAATTGTGAACAACCGAAAACCGACCCAGTGGATGAATGGTTAACACGTTCACCATGAAACCTGAAGGTTCTTAGTTCCATCCCTAACCGGATCGTGGATGCGTACTGCTGAGGAGTCCGATAGTAGTTGGACGAAACAGTTGTCCAATGCTCCCAGACTTTCAATGGTTTGCCAACTAATATCAGTCCATTATGAAAACTAACACTAAATTAAAGATCCCCATTCATCTCAAAAAATACATTTGCTACATTTTGTTTTGCTGTTATCACTTTTACTGTTATCTACTAATTCTCAATCTACTCGAATTCATTTAACCCCATAATTGATATCAAATGATTACGCTGAATAATTTGTAAATGTAGTTGTGTAAAGAGTGATGAGAATTCCACCCAAAATACAAACTCGCTTCAAACTCCTCTGTCTTCTGTCTATCACAATGGGAAGGAATCCAATGGAAACACAGAAATGAAGTGGATATTAGGATGAACCTTCATCGACTGAGATGTTTGGTTGGGACACGTGTTACGTATGCCTAGTCACCGATTGCCTCGTCACACAATGTTGGCCGAAGTAGGTTCAGGCTGGTAGGAAGGCCCGAGGTGGCCACACTAAAACATGCCACCAATATATGAAGTCACTGACTGTTGGTTTGAGCCATATAGGGCGATGCAGACTAGGTGGTTGGGGTTCGCAGGACAAGACGAACCAACAGTGGTTGGAGACTGACTCTAGGTGATCACATGGCTCAGAACCGATGTCAGTAGCGCACACGCATCCCCACACACATTATCCTCATCTAAACGACGCCATACCGGATCCCACCATTTTGTCATTCCTCTTTTCTTTCTTCTCGTACTTTATACTTCTTCTGACTGCATTCTCTTATCTTCATCTTGTACCTTACTGCCTTTTTACTTGATGTATGGCGGACAATCGGACCGTTACGCAGTAATGCCTGGTTGTAGGTTGATCTGGATGGATATTAGGGCGGAACAATTCTTATGAAATTACAATTTTTGAAGAGGACAAAATGGTTTTCATCATGACGTGATATCTATTGTGGAACGATCAGGGACTTGATATTTATTTCGTTCTAATTCTACACTTCTCACGAGGGTACCTGCACGACTTCCAAATTCTATTGCTCTTCAATGCTACATGAAGATAGATCTTGTAAAGTTGTTTCCAGAAGCAGAGTATAAAGACAAATACTTGTTGATTGGATTAGATGATATTCTGCATAGAATTGATAGATTTATTAACACGTAGCTCATTGTATTATGACGCAATGGCTGTATCAATTAGGTAACATGCTTACCATAAGATGTGACAGTTATTGGTTCAAATTCCTGATGAGATAAGGGGTTATGGTTGTGTAGAGCTAGTAGGTTGCATAGAAGGGCAAAACAGCTGCTCCTCAATGTAAAATGCAGTCAGATGAAAAGTTTCCTTTTTTTATCGATTCTTTTGTTAGTGTCGATCAGCGGAAAACTATTTCACAACAACAACAACCACAAAATGCGACATATTTACCCCAAGTTAAAAAGAAATCACCAGATTATCATAGAAGACGACGAAAATCTAAAATGTTGACATCAACTAATCAAAATAAATTACCAAAAATGAAATCAATTGAAGAAGAAATTATTCATAATTTCACATCTAATAACTGGGAAGATCAAATTAAAGCAACAAGTAGTATACAAGACCTATTGAAAACAATGAATGTAAAACCATTAGAGATAATATTCAATGATACAAAGTATATGCATCTACTAATCAATGGAATTGAGAAAACTATCAAGTGTTTACGTTCACAAGTAAGTTGATATTTCATTATAGAATAGGACTGACTTCTTAAGACTGTTAACCAATAACCTTTTCCCTATCAAGGGTCCAACTTGGAACATTTATGCTTCATAACTATCATTGCAATGGAATCTGATAGCTTAGATGTACTTATGTGCATTCCATAGCCTGATCCTCAAAGAATATCGTCGTCGAATAACTACTCTAATATTCAACTTGCTTTGTTCCCTTAAGACATAACTTCTCAGTGAAACAGTAATTCAATTTGGAAGTCTGTAGCAGTCTCTTCATTGATTTCAAGTTGATTTTCAAATGAAGAATGAAACTTTATTCACATACGCACACACACAGTATCGTATATTAATTATTATTAGTTCTTTGGGTTCCTAATGGAATATAAGGCTTCAGTAGCACATAGTCATTCCACTCTGTTCTCTGCAACCTTTTCAACCCGGCTCCACGATAGCCCACAAACTCTCATTTCTTCCTCACACCATCCCCTCCATGTCACCTCACCTCAGACGCCAAACTAGTCGTTTCCCATCTGAATTCCACCTGAGTGCCTTGCCTGGCACGTGATGTACCCGAATGGTCTTCTCAGTGTATGCTCAATCCATCTCCACTTTCTTTCTAGTACATATTTGTTGAGCGATAGGTTCTTGGTTGGTTCGTTGCCAGTCAGCCACAGTTCCTTGTTGCTTATTCTTTCTGTCCATCTGATCTTCAGTAACGAGCCAGAGGAGGCAGTTGTTGATGAATGTGTGTAGTTTGTTGGAAATGCCTTTCATAACGCGCCAAGTCTCTCAACCATCGAATAGAAACAAGCACTGACTTGACTGGATTGGTGTTGAAAATCCGGATGTTGTTCACGCTTTATGCTGAGTGAGGAAGATCTCCACACTGTTTTCAGGTTAATCAATGCCTGTTTTGCTGTCTTTCCGATCCTGGCTGACTTGACGTCCTCGTCTGTGCAGCTGCCTATAGTTAAAACGGTGCAGCCTAGATAGGTGAAAGAGACTACCTCCTTTAGGTTTTTCCCACTGATGGTGATTGGAGCTTGTTGATGGCGTTGTTTGGGTATCATCATCACCTCTGTCTTCTCTATGTTCACTTGAAGTCCCATCTTCGCTACTCTGCCTCTTCTGTCAACTTGTTAGTTTTCGCCTGTAGATCTTCGAGTTTGTGCGACATCAGACACAAGTCATCACTGGCGAAATCCAGATCTTCTGGGTTCTTTTCCGCAGTCCAGAGTATCCCTCTCTTCTCGTTCCTCACTATTTGCTGCATGATCCAGTCGACCACAATCAGGAATATCATGGGGGATAGTAGGCAGACTTGTTTTACTCCTGTCTTCACTTCACTCCAGAGGCGTCACTGAGCTTCCCATTGTGAATTACTTGGCATGTGGCGTCTTCATATAGTTGTTGAATAAGATTGATAAAGGTGTGTGGTATTCCACAGGGTTGAAGCAACTATCTGCCAAACTACTTCTCGGTCGACGCTGTGAAAGGCCTTCTCAAGGTCGATGAAGTTGAGGTGTAGAGTTGACTGCCATTCTATACTCTGTTGTATGACGATGCGTAGTGTAGCGTTGCAATTTGGTGCGCACGTGATTTGTACTTCCCGAAGCCTGCCTGTTCGGGTGGTAGTTTTGAGTCCACCGCACCCTTAACTCTCTCCAGGATGATGCGGCTTAATATTTTGCTTGCTTTGGGTGGACAGGAGCGTGATTCCGCACCAGTTCTTGCAAACACTGAGGTCTCCTTTCTTCGAGAGTTTGACAAGGTAACCCTTCTTCCAATCATCAATGGGCAGGTACCTTCTCTTCCTTCCACACCTTCTGCAATAGTGGTGTGAGCATGTCCACTACTGTTGTCTCTGCGTCCATTCTCAGTGTATCTGGCGGGATCCCTTGTGGTCCTGCTGCTTTCCAGCATTTCAGTAGCTTTATGGCACTCAGGACTTCCATTTTTGTTGGAGGATTTATGTTCACTTGTAGTTCAGCGGCTGTATGTGGTATTTCTGGACGAAGTGCAGGTGGTGGTGGTCGACTCAGGAGTTTTTGAAGTGGTCGGCCCATTGTTTCCTCTGTTTCTCTTCTTTCGTAACTAAATTTCCTTCATCATCTTTATTGGTTTCATGTGTGTTGATCTCTTCCCAGATAGGAACCTGGTTATTTGATACAATGTTGTCAGGTCTCTATGTCTCTTACCTGCAGCCTGTTCTGCTTCACTTGCCAGTGTTTCGTAGAAGTGTCTTTTGTCTTTGCGTGCAATCTTCTTCACTTCTTTGTCCAATGTTTTATAGATTGTACTCAGTTCCTCTTGTCGTTGAGCATTCTTGCACTGGTTTATCTTCTGCTTCACCATCCTCCTCTCCTCTATCAGCTCCCATGTGCCCATCGAGATCCATTCCTTATCTTCTTTCTCCTTCCTTCCTAATACGGCTGTGCAGGTTTCTTTCCACATCTCTTTCAAAGACTTCCAGTCTTCTTGCACACAGGTTTCTTCAGGGATGTTCCTCGATATCTCATATTTTGTCTTGATGGCTGACTGTCGTGAAGATTTGCTTTGTAGTTTCATCCTTCAGTTTCCGAGTGTTGTACTTGAACTGTGGTCTATCACCAGCTTCCTTGAAGGCTTTGGACTAGATTTGGAAGTTTCCTTGCACTGGATAGTGGTCTGAACCTACATCTACTTCTCTTCTTGACCTTGTGTCAAGTAGGCTGCGTCTCCATTTTCTTGAGATTGAGATGAAGTCGATTTGATTTTTAGTGTAGTGTGTCCTGGTGTCTGGTGAAATCGAATCCATGTCGCTTTGTGAATATCCTTGTGCTTGAACACACTGCCTTACTCCAATCACCAAATTGTTGAATGCACAGAATTCTGCAAACAATTCCTCATTCTCGTTCATCACCTCACCGAGCGTTTCTCGACCCATGGTTAGTTCTCTTCCTGTGTTGTCCCCTCCCAGTTTGGCATTCATGTCACCCCACCCATTAGAATTTCGATATCGCCAACTGAGATGGGGTCTTGTCCATTGTTGATTGAAGTTGTCTGTAGAATTCCTACTTTTTCTCTTGATCTGCATTATTTGTAGGTGCATAGTATTGTATGATTGTGACCTTCCTTCCTTTTGAGTTGAATCTTGCTGTCATGATCCAGCAGGAGGAGATTGGTTCCCACTGTATGAGAGTGAGCCTTCAATGCTCTACAAGGGGACATCATGATAGCCACTCCAAAACTCAGTGTGCTCGTGGTTGTTGTCTGGGTGACAGTGTCGGAGTAGATTATTGATTGTCCAGTTGACAGTTTGGAGGGTCCACTCCCATTCCATCTGCTTTCGCGAATTCCAAGCACTTCAGTGTGATACCTCTTCATGTCGTTTGCAATGTGGGCTGCCTTGCTGGGTTGAGACATGGTGCGGACATTCCATGTCCCCACGTTTACTTCCGCTTTCATCGAGAGGAGAGTAGACACATCGGCCAATTGGCTTCCTGAATGTTTTCACCAACTGGCGTTATTTCGCCTCTCCGATTCCATCGAGGAATAATTTTGTTTTTATGTTATATATTTTGTTTGTGCTTTGAAGTTTGTTTAGCGGTTAGATTTGTTTTACGGGGTAGGGTTGCTATCCCAATGCTATGCCCAACCTTCCCTCTTTACCCGGGCTTAGAACCGGCTAATAACTAGTGAACTAGTTAACCAGGGGAGGTTATGTTAACATTTAGGTATTTCTTATTCTCTTGATATACTTGTGATCCTCGAATTATTCAAACACTATTGGCAAATAGTCTTTTGTGCCTCAGTGAAGTAGTGAAGTGATGAGTATGGGGCTTCAAGTCTTAGTGAGAGCATCATCACTCACTGAAATTTAGTTACATCAAGCTTAGGAGTCTCAAATAGGATGTAACGTGCATCGTCGATTCTTCGACTAACCACACCAAGTAAAATATGTAGAAATCTTATCAAAGTAATCATATACTAGAAGATATCGATCAGTTCTGTTCAATATGATTTTCAGCAGGAAATTACAAATTTGTTGTTCCGTTTTTAGGCCGTTCCAACGAATCGACAAAATGGAACTAAATTTACATCGACCGAGAAGTAGTTTGGCAACTGCTACAACACTATGGAATACCATACACCTTTATCAATCTCATTCAACAACTATATGAAGACGCCACATACCAAGTAATTCACAATGGGGAGCTCAGTGACGCCTCTGGAGTGAAGTGAAGACAGGAGTAAGACAAGGTTGCCTACTATCCCTCATGATATTCCTGATTGTGGTCGACTGGATCATGCAACAAACAGTGAGGAACGAGAAGAGAGGGATACTCTGGACTGCGGAAAAGAACCCAGAAGATCTGGATTTCGCCAGTGATGACTTGTGTCTGATGTCGCACAAACTCGAAGATCTACAGGCGAAAACTAACAAGTTGACAGAAGAGGCAGAGTAGCGAAGATGGGACTTCAAGTGAACATAGAGAAGACAGAGGTGATGATGATACTCAAACAACGCCATCAACAAGCTCCAATCACCATCAGTGGGAAAAACCTAAAGGAGGTAGTCTCTTTCACCTATCTAGGCTGCACCGTTTTAACTATAGGCAGCTGCACAGACGAGGACGTCAAGTCAGCCAGGATCGGAAAGACAGCAAAACAGGCATTGATTAACCTGAAAACAGTGTGGAGATCTTCCTCACTCAGCATAAAGCGTGAACAACATCCGGATTTTCAACACCAATCCAGTCAAGTCAGTGCTTGTTTCTATTCGATGGTTGAGAGACTTGGCGCGTTATGAAAGGCATTTCCAACAAACTACACACATTCATCAACAACTGCCTCCTCTGGCTCGTTACTGAAGATCAGATGGACAGAAAGAATAAGCAACAAGGAACTGTGGCTGACTGGCAACGAACCAACCAAGAACCTATCGCTCAACAAATATGTACTAGAAAGAAAGTGGAGATGGATTGAGCATACACTGAGAAGACCATTCGGGTACATCACGTGCCAGGCAAGGCACTCAAGTGGAATTCAGATGGGAAACGACTAGTTTGGCGTCTGAGGTGAGGGTGACATGGAGGGGATGGTGTGAGGAAGAAATGAGAGTTTGTGGGCTATCGTGGAGCCAGTTTCAAAAGTGTGGAGAGATGAGAGTGTAATGGAGAAGTGCTACTGAAGCCCTATGTTCACTGGGAACCCAAGGGAAAAATAATAATAACTAAGTGAAAACACTTTGGATTTCGGGCGAGTACCTGAGTCCTGACATGGAGACTGATGTGACTGAGTTGATAGTAATAAATACGTAAAAGAAAAGAAAACGGTATTTGAGATACTTGGACTAGACGCGAATAGTGACTGTTTTCCCTTAGAAACCTGACATACCATTGAGCCGCAAAAATCATAAAAGGACCGGCTTGTGACTATAAAGAAGAGGATTATTTATATACAGCTCTTCTCAGAAAATGAAGTCACCAGGTCACAAGGTGGATATATATTTTCATTGGTCATCTCAAGGACGAAACTGCTCAATAAGGTTCCCCCACCCACGCAATGACACGAAACCAAGGTTGTGATGCAAAATTTCCACCTTCGGCGGCTGATGACCTTGAATATCAGCATACCTGAAGGATTCACAGTGCAGAAAAGCTTCCTTTCATCTGATGAACTAGTCCTGATTATCAAAATAATAATTCACATTTATTTGTCTAGTTTTGCTTGTAGGATAAAGTATACCCTCATAAATGTCATCGGGAAATGTTAATAACGCTTTAACTATAAATTAGTATAATGTGAAACTCCTAACTGGTAATAGTTAGAAGCTGTGCCAACTCATGCGAGTTACTGGCAGCAAGAAGTCAGGTGTCAGTGAGACAGTCTTTGACATAGATGATATGCCGATAAACAGTCTTCAAAGATGCCTGGAACGCTGGCCGGAGAACTTGGAAAAGCTGATAAGCTAGCTTATGGTTCCAGCATTGTCACGTTCGGTGTATCGTCCCTCCATGTTCAGTTGAAATTGATCCACCTAACGAAGCGGAGGTTTATAAGAATTTCCAATTTTCGAAAAGCCACAAGGCACCCAGCCTAGACAACTTACCCCCGACTCTTTTTAAGGATGAAGGAATGACTCTAGTCAGGGAACTGACCAGACTATTTGAGAAGGTATGGCAGACTGAGTGTTCTATTACTCTGGAATGAAGCCATTGTTTTGTTCATCTTTAAAGAAGATCTATGTGATGTTTGTGACAATCATTGGACTATTAGTCTGTTAACAGTAGAATCGAAAATATTAGCTGCTATCATACTCTGCAGACTTTCCAAAACACGTGAAATTATTCGCAAGAAGAAGGCCGGGTTTGATTCAGGTCATGATTGTGTTTGCCCTCCGCCAGATGCCTGAAAATCGCCACATGTATTGCAGGCCAACAATCTACTACTCATAGAATGGCTATTACACCTTGAGTATGCGTACGATATCGTCTTACTGTGCGATAACATATAGGCCATCCAAATCACAGTTATTCACTTGGTGATTAGTGTCCGTAAACATGGTATGTGCTTTGCACCAATAAAGTGCAAAGTACTCTTGGAAGATTGGCAGGAGCTTGGACTTATATGTAGTGGATAATGAACTACACCATTTTGTATGAAGGCTGATAATAGCACACGACTGCCTAGACCTCTCCGGGTTCGAACCCATAGCCCGGTGGTAGTGGAAAATCAGGTACTCAGACCAATGATCCACAGCTCTACCATTTTTATGTATTCATATTACTAGTATTCTGAGTTTCATTCGAAAAATTCTTTAGTCTCCACACCAAAATCTTTCTCCTAGGTGTGTCGTAACGGTCTGAAAACACTTCATCAACTATGCGATTACTTACAACGTGTAAATCAAGGTTATCTACTCAATGCATATTCAGAGACAATAATTACCACCTTATTAAGTCGGATAAGTGAAGATTCTAGTACAAAATTCCTTCAACAGGCATCATTTACAACTTTGGAAGCTTTTATGGCGTGTATAGATGAAGCAAAAGCGGTTCAATTAATGTGTACAAATTTATGGGATAAATTTACACGTAGTAATATACGCCGAAATACAATTGCTAGAATGTTAAACTATATATTTTGTAATAAATTACAAAGTGGAAAGAAAAATGGTGTACTATTCAAAAGATTAGGAAATGATGGTGTAGAACGTCTTATCAATGTTGTACATCAGTTGACAAATGATAAAATGACAAGTACCAGGTGAGTTTGAAATTTTTGTCAATGACGTTCTTGTGCAGATCTTCCAGTCTTCATCTGACATTAAAAGGATGGATTTAATCACATAAAACTCTCTCAGAGATCTAGAATAAGCATACCACATAGTGGGCATGTTAGAGCCTATGGTGAGTTGTCCGGGGAGCTATGCTCATCGAGTGCTGTCCGTCAAGGATGCCCACTCACTCCATTCTTATTCAATTTCATCATAGATATTCTTATGGAGGTCTCCCTCTCATCACCTAATTACACAGACGTTGACCTAATCATGGGAGAATTCTCGTTACACCTAGAATATGCAGATGACATACACCTGTTAATTAAAGACGCTGATAAGATGCAGAGTCTTCTGAACACTTTGAGTGGGAATCTGAGAATGTTTGGGATGCATTTCTCACCACACAAATGCAAATCCTTGCTCCAAGATTCGTCTTCAGCGGTGCCACGGCTGACAATAGAGAGTGAAGTGGTTCAGTGCGTCGACCACTTCACTTACCTGGAAAGTAGGATCAACCCTGCTCTGGTGGCTCAGTGAACGATGAAATCTCTACACGGATACAAAAGGCTCGATTAGCTTTCGCCAATTTACGCCACCTATGGCACCACCGTGATATCCGTTTGTCTATTAGAGGTTGCGTGTACTGCACAGCAGTCCACTCTGTTCTACTCTATGGCTGTGAAACATGGCCATTCAAAGTGGAAGACATGAGAGGACAGGCTTCAAGTGTTTGACCACAGTTGACTTCGTAGTATAGGCCATCGTATTCCGTGGTGTCACCACACCACGTGAGTAATGCAGAAGTCAGGTAAAGAGTTTTAGGGAGTGGAGGTAAGTCAGTTGACGAGATTATGAAGCTTCATCGATTGAGATGGCTGGTTGGGACACGTACTACGTATGCCTAGTCACCGATTGCCTCGTCACACAATGTTGGCTGAAGTAGGTTCAGACTGGTAGGAAGGCGCGAGGTGGCCACACTAAAATATGGCATCAATGTATGAAGTGTTTGACTACTGGTTTGAGCCATGTAGGGTGATGCAGACTAGCCGGTTGGGGTCCGGAGGACAAGAGAAACCAGTGGCTGGAGACTCTAGGTGATCACATGGCTCACAACCGATGTCAGTGGCATAGATGTATCTTCATCTTCCACTTCCTTGTCTTTTTACTTGATGATATACTGATTAGAGCTGTGACAACTCAGAGCGTTACACAGTAATGCCTGGTCCTGTGTTGATCTGGATAGATGAATGGATACAACTCACAGCAATAAATAAATTGAAGAAATCGACAAAAACTCAGTACGTTCACGTGCAAATGCCTTTATCATATGATTCAGTCGTTACGTTGACCTTCCATGTGAATGGTCTAGAGTGTATTTGCCCAATCAAGTAGGTCGAATCCACTCATGTGGAGTGAGCCAAACAATTTGGCATTCTAAACACAAAGTCAGCCTGCTTATTGTCCGTATATATTCCAGGTGATCTAATTCATCAGTATATATGCAGGAAGATGATCGATGATAGTAGGCGCCAGCCTTGTCTTACTCCTTACTGTCTTCTCTTCACTTCAAAGGCGTCACTGAGCTTTCCATTGTGAATCATTCGGCATGTAGCATCATTACATAGCTATTGAATGAGGTTATATACTAAATATTATACGGAAATTATTGGCTTATGTGTCAACATTGTTACTGAAACAGTCGATCCCTCATTGAATCTTATAGAGAAATAGGTTATAGAAGGAGTACGCTGTATTGCGTATCGTCGTAAAGTACAGTCTGCTAGTGTAAAACTCTTGAGGAAGAATCCAATAGATCCGAACATGAAATTACATTAGATTTTCACTGCAGCTGACTGAAAGATTCCTGACCAATCCACTTAATGAGCCTACTTGTCACGCTTGACTGAAAGCGTACCCGAATATCATTTAATACGGTTGTGGACCTTTGACTGTTGGATACAGCCATGTGGGTTAACACAAACATTTCTGTGGTGTTCCATGTGACAACAAAAATAGCTGATTAGAGACTCCAGGTGATATAGCTCTGAATCAATCTGAATGATGCGGAAGTGACCACTTCGGACTCCTTTTACCTTTATTTCGCCATGTGCTAACATAAGGTGGACTTTAGCAACGGCGACTCCTAAACAGTGATTTCTAGTCTATCTTCAAAGTTATCGCATATGAAGCATAAAATGAAGCATATAATATAATACTCCTATAACATTGGTAACAACTTTAACAGACAGACAGAACCAAAGGAGAACCTCGCATACAAGTGCGTCAATTCAAGTTGCCATACTTCCCCTGTAGTACACAAAGAACAGGTAGACAGAAATAAAATAATATCAAAGTGGATAAAGTTGTGTGAGAGAGTAAACAGTTTGAAGATAACGGGTAGTATGAATATTCAAGCTTAAGAAAATGTCAGGAGTAAATAAATCTCCGTTATTGAGATCATTTTTCAGTTATGCAGTTCCTTGTGTCTCAGTGACCTCAAGTAGGCAGTTTACATCCCGGCATACGAATCACATTAACAGTCAGAGACTTCATTGACTGATGCCACAACTTCATGTAACCACACTGAACTCTTTTCCTTCCTTCTAGTATGGCACGTCGAGATAGGCGGCGGCTCAGCATGCACAACATGTGTTCAAATCATCTTAATCAAATAAGGTTCATAAACTCATCAATAAACTTGTTTGTCTTGCCAAGTACCCTTCGCCTGACCTAAACAATAATGCTCACACAATAACATCTATGTTCGGATGACACTTACTTTTAACGCTCATGTCTCATAGGCGTATAACACGACACTGGTATCAATCATGAACTAGATGTTGTTGTGTTTTTTTAACTTGACACATAAATGAAATTATTATTTATTATTATTATTACTATCTTAATTTTCAGGTTGTACGGACGCAAAATTCTTGAACAACTCATGCTAATTACAGACATCAATCAGATTTATAAGAAGGTGTTGGATACCAAAGCATATTGAAAAGTTAAACATTTGAACAAACGCACATCTATTTATTCATTCTATGAACTCTTACACACACACACACACACACACACACACACACACACACACACACACACACACACACACACACACACACACACCTGTGAGAATAAATCTGTATTCAAAATACAACTTATCAGATCAAAAAAGTGTTATTTTTATTCATATTTAACTAGTAATCATCAATATAGGACACAAGTCAATGGTGATCTTCAGAGTTAACTACAGCATTCAGATGAACTGTAACGTTCCCTTTTACGAGGAACTGAATCCTACATCAGACATACATCAAGAAAAATTCAATTTAACCTGAACTGGATTCAGAAGATAATTGAGCAAAATTTCAAGTTAACTGTGATCTTCAAAACTGAACAATGTAAGAAAAACCTGTTTAGATACATAGCAATCTGTATCTGGACACCAAAGCGCTGAGTTGTAGTATTCTGTGTGTAAGCTAGCTTGGAATAGATGATACAGACCAGTCAAAATGAAAGGCTTAACAACTGTTGAAACATATTTCAGTACCATTTCGACAGTGTTACAATGAATCTTTAATTCGATTGAATAGTATAGGAAAGAAGTTTGATCAGCAATAACACCAATTTACTTTAATTGTGCTTCCAGCTTGTTAAGTTACGTCATTTCTCGTGACTATGGGCTATATAAAAGGCTAATTGTTAAGAAACGAACAGTTTATCCCATTCTGTTATACGGATCTAAAACATGACCGTTAAAAGCGGTTACTGGTATCCAAACATAGATGTTTTCACAGTATTCCTGGTGTGTGTGGAATCACCGTGTGTTAGCAGCATCCAGGTCAGAAGAAGGCTACTAGGTAAGAAAGGAAAGTCAGTTGTGAACCTTCAGTGGCTGAGATGGCTTTAACATTTGCTATGCATGCCAAGCCACCGCCTACTTCCATGTGCAATGCCACGACAGGTTGGATTAATTTGGAAAAGGGCTCAGAGTGCTCATATCAAGACATGGCACCAATCGATGGAGTCCTTAACAGTTGATTTCAAGCACATATGGAGGTGTTAAGTGCCTGTTCAAGGTGGTCGAGAAGATAGGAAACAATAGTTGTAAACACATAGGGACGTGGCTGAAAATCGGTCGCAACGATGCATATGTATTCACTCTTCGATATATTTTAAAACCTGAGAGTCTTCATTTCAGGATTCGGAAATCTCCAGTCTACACGTCAATTTATGATCGCATAACGTTGACATACATCCTTAAGATAAGAACCTAGACAAAAGCATAACAGTATCGGATGTGTTGTTCGATAAGCGGCTAGCAGTAACCATGGGAAGCTAGTAACCACACACAGGCGGCTTTCTTCATGGATTAATCACCAACGCACATCTTAGCTGATGGGTCAATCAACGAAAGAATGCCAGTTAAAAGCATCCGTAAGCGATGCAATTATGGATGATTAGGGCGACCAATCATCAAAAAACAAGAATAGTTTGTGTCTTGATATGACCGAAGGTGAACGGCTCTCACACAGCGACGCATCCATAGCCTCTGCCGGTGAATTGTTACCCCATTGCCTTCATCTGATAGGAGATATCCCCGAAAACGTGAGATGGCAAAAGCGAATACGCAGTGGTATCGTTGGGATGGTGTACACACAGGGGAGTCGGAAAACTTTGATTCCAAACCAGTGATGAACATCCGGACTTCAAAATTCAAAACAGATGAATGGCGTATGAATCTACTTAGGTCACCAGTAATCATAGAAACCCAGTATTTCGTGTAACTCCACTACCTAGTGGATCAGTCTTCAAGTCTACAGCCCAGAAGGTGGTCCCATAAGACAACCAATCATCTTTTTCAGTTCAGGTGTCTTGACAACACCACCACCATAAAAGTCATGAAGTAAATATACACCGAAAATGAAAAGCACACAGACGTTTTCCAGAATACGGCGTTTACTTGCCAAATATACACATATTTTAAGAATATGTGCGTAGTGATTTGGTAGAACGAACGAACAAAATCTACTCAGCTACTGTGTGCACATTCGAGTAGGTTGGGTCAGTGCTGGGGAGATATCCAACTACCCATCAAAGGTTGAGTATACTATCCTGTTAAACAGCTGTGAAACATAGCCGTTAAAACTAGGAGGTATGAAGCGGTTGCAAGGTTTTGAACACAGGTGTGTGTCTTCGTAGCATTGCTCGGGTTTGGTGGAATCACCATATAAGCCATGTTGAAGGTTACTAGCCAAAAAAAGCAAGTCGATTGATGTGGTTCTAATCCCTCATCAACTCAGAGAGCTTCGACATGTATTGCTCATGCCAAATCATCCCCTACCTTGACCTGGCATGTTTAGGGGAAGTTGGATTAATTTGGAATAGAGTTCAAGTGGTCCAGACCAAGAGGTGGCACCAGTCGATGAATCCCTTGACTGTTAGTCTGAGCCATGCAGGAAAGTGTAGACTACCTGGCTGGGGTAAACAAGACGAAAAGAATCAGTCATTGAAGACTCTTGATGGTCACAATGGTGCAGATGTATTCACTCTTTGACGTCTTCTAAAGATTTGCAATAATGTTTATTTTCAAATTGTTTGCTTTCACACACTTGTTCATTGTCTTCTACAGTGAAATGTGGCAACTTGAACTAATGCACGTGAGTGCGTCATTCTACGTTGATTTTGTCTGTCTGATATTCATGTAGTAGGCAATGAGTCGCACACCTATTGTGTGTGAGGTCTAATGATTCCGCCTGACTGCCTAAGCCTCGATAGGTGGAGAGTTGGTTGAATCCGTGACCCTAAGTAGAAAATCAATTCCTGAAGCCAAAGAGCCACAACTCCACTGATCTGACAAAAAATCCTTTAGATAATGTTACAAACCAAGTGATACCCTATTGCAAACACCAATATAGATTTTCGTGTTAGTATATCATCATCACCCAGATCAATCTAGAACCAGGTAGTATTGCGTAACGGTTCGACTGGCCACACCTCATTTCACTACATCAAGTAGAAAGGAAGTGAGGTGAAGGATGTAGATAAGAGAATGCAGTAAAAAGGTACGAGAAGAAAGAAAAGGGGAATGACAAAATGGTAAGAATCGGTATAGTGTCGTTAAGATGAGGATAATGTGTGTGGGGATACGTTTGCACCACTGACATTGGTTCTGAGCCATAGTACCTACAGTCTCCAACCACTGTTGGTTCCTCTTGTCTCGCGGATCCCAACCACCGAGTCTGCATCGCCCTACATGGCTCAAACCAACAGTCAGAGACTTCATACATTGATGCCATATTTTAGTGTGGCCACCTCGCGCCTTCCTACCAGTCTGAACCTACTTCGGCCAACATTGTGTGACGAGGCAATCGGTGACTAGGCATACGTAGTACGTGTCCCAACCAGCCATCTCAATCGATGAAGCTTCATAATCTCGCCAACTGACTTACCTCCACTCCCTAAAACTCTATACCTGACTTCTGCATTACTCACGTGGTGTGGTGACACCACGGAATACGACGGTCTATACTACGAAGTCAACTGTGGTCAAACACCTGAAGCCTGTTCTCTCATGTCTTCCACTTTCAATGGCCATGTTTCACAGCCATAGAGTAGAACAGAGTGGACTGCTGTGCAGTACACGCAACCTCTAATAGACAAACGGATATCACGGTGGTGCCATAGATGGCGTAAATTGGCAAAAGCTAATCGAGCCTTTTGTATCCGTGTAGAGATTTCATCGTTCACTGAGCCACCAGAGCAGGGTTGATCCTATTTTCCAGGTAAGTGAGGTGGTCGACGCACTCAACCACTTCACTCTCTGTTAGCCGTAGCACCGCTGAAGACGAATCTTGGAGCAAGGATTTGCATTTGTGTGGTGAGAAAGGCATTCCAAACATTCTCAAATTCCCACTCAAAGTGTTCAGAAGACTCTGCATCTTGTCAGCGTCTTCAGGTGTTAGTATATTGCATGGCTTGTTTCTGGAGAAAACATGCTAGCTCCCTGACGCTGGTTAATTACGACTTCGAAGATAGGTAGACAGACAATATGGACATCAGACACGGTAATACCGCATAAAGATACAAGTTGACGCACCACGCCCCATATCAGCACATTAGCCGAGGATGTACAAAGATGAAATATAAAGAACTGACAGACAGAGAAAAAAAGAGAGCACATCGCACACAATTGCATCGGTTGAAGTTGCCATGGTTCACAGAAGTATATAACGAACATACGGATAGAAACAGACTGATGTCAAAGTAAACAAAGGTGTATAGGAGGAGAAGCAATTTGGAAACCAGGATTAGTGAAAATGTTAGGACTTTGGAAGACATCAAAGAGTGAATACACATGAGCAATTTTGATGGATTTCCAGACATTTCACCAAGAGTTCCCAACCATTGATTCCTTTTGTCTAGGAGCAGTCTTCATCTCCCACATGGCTCAGATCTATAGTCAGGGACTTCTGATGTTACGTCTTGGTCTCACCACCGAGCTCGCTCCCACACTAATCGAACCTCCCTTATCATGGCAGGTCGAGGTAGGTGGTAGTGGCTCGTCATGAGCAACACATGTCCAAACCACAACCTGATAAATCGACTTGCCTAGTACCATTCGCCTCACCTGCTAACATAGTGATTCCACCACACGTCAGCGATGCAACGATGCTACTTCTAACCGTCATGTCTCACAGCCACATAACAAGACATAAACGACTGCAACACAGTGTACTCATCCCTTAATACGTAGTCAGTTAACTCACCAGTCGGCGTCACGATGGCAAATTCCAAACGGGCCTTCTCAATCCAAGCTGAGATTTCGTTAACAACCAGCTCGTTCGGGCTAATACAACTCCCCAAGTGCTCGACACATTCCACTACTCCTCTCCTTATCATTAAAACAGGAGTTGTAGACCATTCCTGGAGCATCTGACAAGTACGAAACGCATGGCAACCCAACATATTTAGATTTCTGATCAATGCGTTTAGAAGACCCTGTATTTTGTCGGGGTCTTTACCTAGGAGGAAAAAATCGTCTGCATATTCCAAAATCAACCAGATGACCTTCAGGAAGTAGCTCAATCATAGTGAAGTTAGATAAAGATAGATATCTACCAGAAAAGTGCAAGGAATAATATGGCAATACTAAAACTCACTATGACGATTAAAAATCTGCACCACCTGACATCAATTCTGAACCGTATCACTTACATTCTCCCACAAGTGGTTTCTGTTGTTATGCGTATCTCAGACAGCAAGTCTGCATTAACCTATACGGCTTAGGCGAACGGTCACTAATAGTATGTTTTAGTCTGCTAACCTCTAACATTGTGCGATGAAGCAGTTGGCCACTAAGCATGCGTAACACACTTCCCAGCCATCTGAGTCAATAAATGAAGAATTACAACCTCATTAAATAACTTCCTTCTTATGCTTAAGCCACTTCACTCGACCTCTCTACGTTACTGATGTGGTGACAACATTGTCTTTTACTAATAATAATACTGGACAGGTAGTTCTTTGAAACTGATTTCTCAGGATATAAAAATTAACAAAGCTTCAACCACATTAGTGAAGGATCTTAGACCTGAATTGTTTTTCCTATAAATTTCTCAGCTATTTAGTCAACTTTTCATGTTACTTAAAAAAACATACATCTCCTGTGTGTAACCACTGTTCAAAGAGGTAAACTTTACCAAGTAAATTCGATTGACGTCTAAAGAAAACCATCCTCCAGACGGAAAATTATTTTTCAACCTTTCGGTTAATTCGTTAGTTGATAGACTAGACCAGCGCAGAGCATCAAGCAAACGATTACTAGGCAAGAGCGACTGAACACTGTCGCCTTGTAACATTCTTGCCATGATGTACTATTGACAGACGAAGACGGGTAACTTCGACTGTTTTACATAGCACAGTAAGGTAGCTAGGTGAATCACACCACTGCTGCGCCCGCCAAATCATCCCTACCAGATAAACGTTTGAAATCGTTGATTCTAATGTTGAAAGATGATGAAAACAACAACCTTTGAAACGATGATATACAATTGTGTAGCCTGGAAGTGATAAAATGCTTCTTCACACACCTGCACACACACACACACGCAACAAAAAAGCATCTGCTATATCATTATTATTGCGAAAGAAGTGCTTATACAGGCGTTGAAAGACTCCCCCTAGGTGTTGTCTGTGGAGAATTTCATGTGGACAGCAAGCGGAGAACAAAGACAATTCATATTCACAAAGAACAAGAAGATGAAGACGACGAAGTAAACGCTGAACACAACGATAATGAATGATTAATAATTACCCCTCATAGGAGAAGAATGTACAGTAATCAAAACTAAATGATAGGTAGAGAGAGAAAAAGCAACACAACCAACTTGATGTCATCGAAATAGAGACGACCTATATACAGTAAGTATACACAGATGTGCAAAGCTGTTCAGCAAACAAGTTTGGTTCAAATTTCTCCCAGGCAGCATCTTATCACTACTACTACACCATTAACTATGCTTTCCCTCCATTGTCAGATATTTGATTTTGTTGTCGGCCACGTTTCACAGACAAATTATGAAGACGAGCTAAATTCACTTCAACTGTGGTTGTTTGACTCTTAAGAAATTCCAATGTCTGATCCACATCTTGTAGAGATTGTTGAGCAGATTGTTCATTTTCAACGAGTATTTTATCCGCTTCATCAAGATCATATTCTAGCATAACATTAGCGCCTAACCATAAGCCAACACGATCAGCTTTTGGGATATATGCATGTGCAAACAGTTGATTGGATACTTCAAAAGTGACATTTAAATTAGTGTTTTGTTTTTGTAGTTGACGGATAACAGCCAATGTTTTCTGTATATCTGGTAATTGTTGCATTAATCGAATTTTACGTTGTAATAGAGCTTGTTCAATAATTTTATACTTTTGATATAATTCTTCAAAAGATCGTCCAGCTTCCATTAAAGTTGTAAAATTATTCGCTTTCATATAAGCGTCAACATCTTCAATGAATTCAGCTTTTGGTATTCCTTTCTTATCCATTTCAATAAGTTTATCATTTTCTGTTGATGAATTAGTGTTTGTATCAGTCATGATGGGGAACAGTGAAAATCTACAATCATAATAAATAATATACATTGGTATACAGCTGATACTGTGTGAGCTTGTGGATACCATAAGATGCTAGTTACTTCGAAATCATATCAAAGTGTCCAGAGTGACATTGAGCACATTTATGCAGTAGACTATGAGTCATACATCTATTATTGCATATGACGGCTAATGATACTAAACTGACCGGTTGGTTAGAAGTTAACTTACCGCCAACCTCGACGTGCTATGCTAGGGGAAGTTGCATCAATTTGGAAGAGGGTTATAGGTTGTCAGACGAAGATCTAGCAACAGTCCTTCACTGTTGGTATGAGTCGTGTAGGGAGATGCAGACTACCCCTGGTTGGGGTCCCTGAGACGATAAGAATCAATAGTTGAGGACTTGGTGAAATGGCTGAAAATCGGTTATAACGGCGTAGGTAAGCATTCACTAGCTAACGTCTTCTAAAGCTTGAATAGTTGCACTAACCTTGATCTTCAAATTGCCTTTCCTCTCCGTCTGGAAGTCAACTACCTAGACCAGTGAGCCATAAACGAATCATTATCATTATTGCACTTAGATTGAGCTGAAAAACCAAGAACAACCCCTGGAAGTTTTATATATATATATATATACGGTCTAAGGGCTCGTAGCCTGATTCCATACCCTGGTGGCCATCAAACAGTGTATATGTATAGTTAGTGAGCTGGGTATGCATGCGCAGAGCTCGAGACCTCTATTTCATATCATAACTAACATATAAAAACGCCAAATAGTTGAACCAAATTGCTGATTAACCAGAATTAAGAGCATAAAAAGATTTACAGTGTTGTTTATGATTGCTCAATACTTTATCTGATCCTCAGCACCTCTTCACCTGCTCAACATACAGCCTGAAACTGATTGACAAGCAGCTGTCAGTTCTCTATATCTCTTTGAAGTTGGGAAGAATGTATCGAACTGGAAACGATGCAAGGCAGGAGGACGTGACAGTTTGCCAACTGAATTTATCCGATGCATAACTGAGACTTGTGAACAGCAAACTCTAGGAAACTGGACAGGTTACAGACCTAAACGTGAATGCATCGATCAGAATTTTATCCTCCAACAGGTTCTGGAACACAGGCGTATCTACCGGCCAGTGACCATATTTCTTGACCTGAAGGCGACATTTGACTCTGCTGACCGCGAGGTGTTGTGGCAGCCTCTAACTATGAAGAGAATACCGTGCAAGTTTATAGCGCTTATCAACGCTCTCTTCACTCAAACTCACGCAGCCGCGTCAGGGCTTATAGAGAGTTCTCATGTGAAATGACGACAACTAGTGGTATTCATCAAGGATATACAGTCACCGCTCTTATTTAGCTTCGTCATAGACGTACTAGTGGACATAACCCTCGGTACGTTCGACTTCAGGGGGATTGACCTACTCCTTGCAGGTCATCTGGTTGGCTTGGAGTTTGCAGATGATATTGTCCTGCTGGATGAAGACACTGACCCAATGTGGGGTCTTGTGAACGCGTTGAGCAGAAATCTGAGTATGTTCGGCTGGTATGCATTTCGCACCTGTCAAATGTAAGGCGATGCTCCAGGACTGGTGTGCAAAGATGATAGGGAATGAAGTAATGGAATGCCGAGCACTTCACTTACTTGGAGTTGTATCAGCCCGGACGGGCTCGTTGCTGGCGAAATCTTATCTCGGATAGAGAAGCCCCGTCTGGCGTTTGTCAACATGAGTCATCTCTGGCGCTGACTGACGAGATATCCAACTACTTAAAAAATGACGAGTATATTTTGTTGTCGTCCGTTCTCTCCTGTTATATGGCTGACAACCGTTAAAAGTAGGAGGCATAAAGCAGTTACAGTTTTTCCACCATAGGTGTCTTCATAACATTGCTAGTGTTTGGTGAAATCATCGTACTAGCCATGTTGAGGTCAGGCGAAAGGTACTACGCAAGAAAGGTAAGTCGATTGACAAGGTTGTGAACCTTAGTCGACTGAGATGGCTTGGGCCTGTGTTGCACATACTGATCCACCGCCTACCTAGACCCGCGATGCTAGGGAAAGTTGGATTAAGATGGAAAAGGGTTTAGGGTGGCAAGACCAAGACCTGGTACCAGTACCAGTCGATGAAGTCCCTGACTATTCTATTGGCTTGAGCCGTGTGAGATGTAGACTTCCTGGTTACGATCTCTGAGATAACAAGAATCAGTGGTTGAGGACTCTTAGTGATATGACTGAAAATTGGTAACAATAGTGCAGATGTATTCACCCCTTGACATTTTAAACCTGAGTGTTCACACTACTTTATCTACGCTTTATCTATCCACTTGTGAAGTGTGGCAACTGGAGCCGATGCAGTTGTGTGCAATGCTCTGCGTTGATTTCGTCAGTCATCCATTCAGTCGTTTCAGGTTACTTATAGCCGTCTCGACTTCTGCAAGTGTTGAAGGTCCTGTTTCAGTGTTCCACTCAACATCATGCTGGACTTTGGGTAGTGGGATTGCTCCTCACAGTTTGACAGCTTTTCGTCAGTTGTTTCAGTCACCTCCTTTGGGAGTGAGTAGCAGACCCATCTTTCTTCGCTACAGTCTCACTAACTATGGACCTTTTCGCTCCAGATCCCTTGAAAAGTCTAAATCCCATTCTGCTGTTACCTGCTATTTTGGCCTTTTCCACCTCTGCAACCTTCGCTGCCCACCACTACTCACGGCTGTTGGCGTAGACTTCTTGTCATTCTACACTTCACCATCATCAAGATCTACATAGGACCAGACATTACTGCGTAACTGTGGAAATCTGATCGATGCATTCACGTTTAGGTCTGTAACCTGTCCAGTTTCCTAGAGTTTGCTGTTCACAAGTCTCAGTTATGCATCGGATAAATTCAGTTGGCAAACTGTCACGTCCTCCTGCCTTGCATCGTTTCCAGTTCGATACATTCTTCCCAACTTCAAAGAGATATAGAGAACTGACAGCTGCTTGTCAATCAGTTTCAGGCTGTATGTTGAGCAGGTGAAGCGTTGCTGAGGGTCAGTTAAACTGTGCTTCAAATTGTTCTGCCCCAGGTTTTAGCCGCCTGTCTTGAGAGGTCATCAGCGTTGCATCCTTTTTCGGTAATGGTTTCATTCAGCATCGTCTTTTTCTTGCCGGTATCCATAACAAGCCTAAATAGTTGCCGTGTTACCCAACCCTGATGATTTTCCAACTCGCCCGCTTTTGCTACCCATCACTGCTTGCGATGGACGCGAAGACTCCTGGTCACCTCAAGCTTAAGTCGCTTTCTGTCTTCATCGTGGTCAGAATCAACTTGAATCAGTTCAGATGACGTCGTGGAATCCAATAACGTTTGCTAACCTTCGTGTGTAGGTTGACAATTGTCTTTACCGCTGTTTCTACAGGAGACTTAATGTCATGCCAGGTTTTCTTATGGTGAGCATTGTTGCCATGTTCAGATAAATGCTTGGCTGTCGCTTCCCTGAATGCAGACTGGATATTTACGTCTTCCAATGGACGATAAGCAGACTTTACCGTCGCTTGTTTCCTGCGACTAGTAAGGCGCAGACGTACACGACCCAGTTCTAGCTTGTGATCGCAGTCCAAACTAGTACTTCAGAAAGAGCGGCAATCCTCCACCGATGGCTCATAGCAATGTGATCTCTGTGTGTCCCGACCGATAGCTGCTACCTTGACGTGGTGGTCGGGCTTGCATATCACAATGACCCAACGAGCTATGCTGGTGGAACGCTTGTTCCCTCGAGGTCCTACCATACCAGAAAGGTCTGTTGGGTAGTGGTTAGACGAAAAGCAGTTACCGTCATAGTGTAAATTGCTACACTATGATGGGGGTCTGAGGGCGAAGTCGTACTGCTGCTAGCTGGATGGGGTGTGACAGCAGTAAGGTGTTTCCCTTGGATGACCAGCAGTGCCAAGCTGATGCTGCCTTCTCAGTGGAAGGGGGGGTTAGAAAAGGTCGGCCCCAAAAATAACACACTCCACCACGCCCCACGGTCTGCCGGGCCGGCGGTGTTGGTTCACTTGTCGTTTCCTTTCGATCATCCGGCCCCAAAAATACAAAATTCAAAATAATCATACTCAAAAGGCTGGGTGTGACAGGCCTCAAGCAGATGTCCGATGGGCTCTGCGGTCACACAAATCTCTTTCAGGTACCTTAAGAAGAAATAGCCTTCCACGGTGTGGGCAGCCGGGAAGTGTCAACCGCCCTCACAACTCTGTCAGCACCCAAGTTTCTTCTGACTGCTATCCTCCTCCTCCATCATTACCTTCTAATCTTCCTTCACGTCTCTTAATTAATGATGCTGCATCATCTTCAATTTCTCCTACCTCTGCAGCCTTCGACAACGATCTGAGTCCACAGAACAGTCCCTGGTCTCCTTAAACCACGCTCCAAATTACATATTGGAGCCTTCAATGTCCGCACCCTCCGTCAAATTGGCCAACAGGCTTCGTTGGCAAAGACTCTAGCAACTCGGGCATGGATGTGTGCTGTGTTTGTGAGACACGCATACAGGACCCAAGTGTGGTTATTCACCTGACCTCTCCTGACCAATCTGGTGAATCTGCAAAATTCACCCTTCGAGTTTCTGGAGATTCGATAGCTAGCTCTCGTGGTCTTGCAGGTGTAGGTATAGCATTAAGCACCAGGGCAGAAAACTCACTACTAGACTGGATCCCAGTTGATAGTCGCCTCTGCGCTATGAGGCTGAACGGCACAGTGAGAACTAAAAGGAATAGTGAGACTCGCCGTTGTCTCTTTGTAATCTCTGCTTACGCACCCACTGACTGTAGTTCGGATGAAGTGAAGGACGAGTTCTACCATAAACTGTCTAACCTCCTCTCGAAAGCCAAACGTTCGGACGTAGTGGTTGTTGCAGGTGACCTCAACGCACAGGTGGGTAGACTGAGTGAGGCAGAAAGGCACTTAGGTGGCACTTTCGGAATCCCAGCTGAACGTACAGATAACGGTGATCGCCTATTACAACTATGCTCAGATAACCGCCTATTTTTAGCCAGCACAAATTTCAGACATAAAGAAAGGCACTGTCTGACCTGGCGTCCACCGAGCTCGACTCAGCGATGGACACAGATAGACCACATTGCTATTAGTCATCGCTGGAGAGGATCGGTGGAAGACTGCCGCTCCTTCTGGAGTACGTGTTTGGACAGCGATCATGCGTTGGTCCGAGCACGTATATGCCTGCGTCTCAATGGACGTAGAAAAAATTTGGCAACAAAACCACTACGAGTTCTGCTGGACAACGAAAACACCAAAGCCGTGTTCAGTGAGAAGTTGGCTAGGCAGTTATCGGAACAAAAGACTGTCACTCATCCAGAAGAAGCTTGGTGCCATCTTCAGTCTACTGTAAAAGCAGCACTGGAGACTGTAGCCGACTCCAAGATAATGGCTAAAAAGAGCCAGTGGATATCAGCAGCTTCTTCCAAACTAATGGATGCACGTGAATGCATCCCTGCAGGCTCTGAGTACAATGAAGAGCGAGCGCAACTTAAAAATAAACTGACGAAAAGTCTGCGCAACGATCGTGAACAGTGGTGGGCAGCAAAGGCTAA